TTTTTTTTTTTTTTTTTTTTTTTTTTTTAATAGTGGGTAACTGAGACTAAGTTTGATCACCCCTTACTTCGTCAGAATACTCTGGGAGGCTAGCTCAGACCTCTCCCCAAAGTGGTTTATGTAATACTTGCATTACTGTTAGAAAAAAAATAAGAGCCACCCAAAAATTTGTCGTGAAAAGTAATTTCCTGTTCATGCCGAGTTCTCTCATTCATAACGGTCAAAGCCACAATTCTACCCCATCTTTGCCTTAGTATTAACAAAACAGGGGACCAAATGCTCAGTTTTTCTTTAAGTGAACTCTTAGGCTGATTTTCTTTTTTTGTTGTGTCCAAGTTGAGGCTAGAACAGTGACTTTGAAGAAAGAACTCTCGCCAGAAACTGAAATTTGAATATTGCAATGCATCTTCCCATTCAAGGGATGAAGGACTAAATGGCAAAATATTCTCCTGCCAAGTAAGGCGTAAATGAGATGTAAGTGAATTTAAAAGATCGAGGATGCAAGCCTGTCAAATGCATCCTCCCCCACATTAGGCCCAAGTTAAATCATTGTTTTGGAGGAGCGATTAGCTACTGATTGCTGAATGTTAATTGCGCTATGGAATTTGAAGCTAATTGTGCTGTTGTCACGTATTTATCATCGGGGAGCAGTTCTAATCCCTCTTTGGGTCACACAACTTTTTGCATTTGCAAGTTAATTTTTCTTTGTGATGTTAAAATTAATTATATTATGAAATTATGATTTTACTCCTTGAAATGGGGTCACTCAATACATTTAAGTACAATACGGGAATGGATTTTTTTTGGCTGACCCTAGTAGCAAAATCAATTTTTGTTTCTTAAAAAAAAATACCAAAAGGAAAGTTTTGAATCATAAAACGATGATTACATGCAAGTAATAAATGCATACGAGTTAGAAAGGAATAAAAATTAGGATTCAGAGAAAGCCATTGAATAAGGAGATAATGAAACCTATACTTGTAGTAAAATACTCAATACCTACATAAACAAAAAAAGAAACTAAACGAATAATAATTTTTGTAAATTGCACTTTCATCATTTAAATTATAATAAAGGTTTAACTTTCTTTTTACTAGTCAATTGAAAATTATCATTTTAAACACCTTTGTATACATACTTCATTAAAAAATGCATTATTTGGACACACTTTCTTCCTCTCCTCGTGGCTTTCTGCTACTAGGGAATGGATTCAGTCTGATGAAAGTGAAAAAGTACATGCAAGCATATTTTTTCAAAAACATAATGCTTTACCGAGGATTTCACTCTCATCATATTTTTTTTTTTTTCTTTGCGGTAATTTATTGAGAGTCAAGGGAATAAAGCCTCCTGATGACTGTTTTTATGTAGATTAGCAACTAAAAGCACAATGCCTGCCATTACTGTCCGGGCCCGAATTTTGTTGATCGGCGAATCTAGGGAGTATAACCTGAAATCAGGAAGTCAATTGAGAAGCTATTGCTTGATTTAAGGTCAGCTGTAGTCGACCGATAACTTGGGCTCTGGTGGTCAACAATTTACGGGCCCAGGACATCAGGTTGTGATCTATTTGTGAACCCAGCTAGAAGACACAGCTTACATATTGACGCACCTTGCGGATGCTCTTCAGAAGTTCATCGGTAAAACTTCATGCATGAAAGTACTTTAATCGATTCAGAAAGGCCGAACTTCTAGCTGTGTCGTTCTGACGAATTTTTGTAAGAATACCGATTTTTGTATAGAATGTTGTTTTTTTTAAAATAAAATATGACTGAAGATCTCCTGTCCTTGATTTCAATGCCCTTCCCCCTTAAATTTTATTCTCTGAAATAATTGTTCATCATTTTCAGTTTCAATCAATGGCAATTGACACATTTTTCTGGAAAGTCTCTTTAAAACTGTAGGATTAAGATGAGGGGGAGATAGAGAGGTAAATGCTCCTCATCAGCCGAGAGAGCTATGGTTTAACATTTCATGGGACAACTCGACTGTGTTTAACTTGGCATGATTAGAGCTTGTTATTGACTAGTTGCTCAGTTGTGAGCATCACAAAACCAGTTAAGATGTTTGCATTTCATACTAGCGAAGGAACTCGTTAAGGAGGTCATGTTGTGTTATTGAGATTGAAATCATGTTCCATTATTATTGCAATAGGGCTTCAGAAATAAAAACTGTGTTGAAAAAGGCCGAAAAGGGTTGATTCCTGGGGTAGCAAAATTGTGCTCCCACCTTCCGCGCTAAGGTTTAATGTTACCAATCACTGTGAGTCAGCCAGAGGGTTAGCCATTTGATTCCCTTTCTCAAGTTTTTCATGGTTGTGGGGAATTTCTATCGGTGGCTTTTGATGCTAAATACTCCTGCATAAGCAACCATCACTTAATGAGAATTTTAACACTTGGATTGGTATATTTGGGAAAAATTATTGTGATCAATGGAGGACTACATTTGCCATTCATTTTACTTGGAAGATCAAATAAAAAATATCGAAATTTAGCCAGAAACATATCTCTTGATTTTCTATGTTTGGTCCTTAGGTGAGAGACTAAACCAAAACTTTTAGCAAAAGTGACACTGAGTAATATGATATCGAATTTGTGCAGGTTAACTGATGATGTAAAATGAAAAATAAGGACTCATTACTCTCTCTATGTGTTGATCAGCAATGCCTGTTTCCATAATTTTCAAGGTAAATTTTCAGTAAGTAAATCTTCAAAAATCTGATGTCATATTACTCAGTATTGATGCTGCTACCAGTTATGGTTCAGTTTCTAACATGGTTATGTGAATAACAATCATCATTGCTCTTCAGACTGGACGAAAAGAAGCTCAACGAGATGGCGGTTTCTGTCCCTAGATTTTTTTAATTCACTTTAAGGTGATAGTGGCAAAAATTTAAGCTTGCCTCTGAAAATTTAAGGATGCTCCTTACGAAATACAAGAAAATCATTGTTTTCAAGCAGTGTAAAAATGAATAGTTTATTCAAAACTGAACATACTCCAGTCCAACCCATTATAATTGAAAGAAGCTTCGGAATGGACGAAGAAGACCGAAAAGAAAGACCAGAGTCTTAGAAAAAAAAAAAAATTTATTTTAAACTTAAAAAATAACACATTTAGAACTTCAGCTTTTGGAACAACCAACTTTTCTTCCCCGACCTGAACCTGCAAAAAGAGAAAGAGAAGGGCGAGGAATTAGCTTTTTTTAAATCTAATTTTACCGCAGAAGGGGACAAAGGTTTATCAATTATTACACATCATGGTAGCAGAAAAACCATGAGACTTCAGGTTTCACACATTGATAGATAGTAACATAGTGCTGGCGGAAGTTTCAGGGCATACATCGTGCATAGCGATGTTGAGGATTTCTGAAAATATTTCACATACATAGAAAACTAGTCAGCATATTCCTAAAAATTCTTTTTGCTTTGCAAAAAAAAAAAAAAAATTGTTAATTTTTATAACAGTAATGATTTAATGAGGTTAGGTTTGTTGAAAAAAGAAAAAATTGTTCCCAGGACGCAAAAAAGGAAAAATTAGTAAAAAATGTAAAAATTATGAGTAAAAAATGATGATGTCATCTAGGGCAACACGTAAATATTTAAAGTAGCTGTTGTCATTGCTGTTATCTGTAGTGTCCCTTCGAAGATTTGAAGAAACCCCCGAAGAATACAGGAAGATAAAACAAAATTAAAGAAGAAGGTAGATTTTGCAGAAGTGCAACAAAAAGGATCCTTTGCATCTCATTCCAGACCATAGAAATAGGTCCGTTGCACACTGAAAATACAGCCGATTAAATATGGTATTTGCAGGTAAAACCACACAAAAATCTTTTTGAGAACATCATAAAAGTCTGAAATCAGTTTATAAGCACGCAGCCTGCAGAGTTTGTGACAAACTTTTTCAAGTTTCCTTCGCCTGTGGAGAGTTTTTTCAGTCACCGCTGACCAAGTTTGCATGAGGAGAGGAGTAAGAAAACCTAACCAGAGTAAACAAACGATTTCACTGACTTCTTCTATTGTATGATTCCAATTGTTTTCAAGCGTCTGTTTTCTTTTTCTATCTATATTTTGCAAAAACAAAGGCTTTGAATCAATTGAAATCGTATGCAAGGAGAGTTTTCAACATTTCGCAAGATTGCTAATTATTTAGGTTAGGTCTTTCTCCGAAACGCGGTCAATTTGAAAGAGCTTATTACCTGCAACGCAGATTACTTTCTAAGGAGTGAATTTCAGAATTTCTTGATGTGCCCAACTTTATTTTCAATTGAATTTACCCGAAGTGAGTATATTCAGTTGGCTGTATCTTTTGCATGCAACAGACCCATTGCTTTTCCTGACTTTCTCCTTTTTTCAGAAATAATGCAAAATGGTAAAATTAAAAATCCAAGCTGACTAAAATTTTATCAATATTTCATGTCATACAAGCTTTGTAAAAAGGAGGAAAGAACGCGCAAACTGAGAATTCAACATTTCAGTACGCAAGAACTGTGTAAAAAGGAATCAAAAGCACACTGACTGAGACTTAAAAAATATTTCAATAACCTTTATAAGTCTTTTACATTGATCCGTCAGCATTTCTGATGCCAGCTTGAAAAGCAATTTCATTGCAATAAAGAACATTCTAATGAATAAAAGGGAAGACTAAGGTTCGGAAATTTTTGTAAGTGCCTAGATCAAAATAGCACATATCTTCTGGAAACACAATTCGCCAGCAAAAGCATGAGATTAGGGAGAAAAACTGTGGGTCATGGTCGCCATACTTGCATACGAGATTGTGGTCCTCAAAATATATTGCAAAATCGTGGAGCTCATTAGCTAATGTAATCATCCTAGCCCAAATTACGGAGAGAGAGAAAAAAAAAAGGGGGGGGGGGTGTAATTGGGACTTTCTTGATTACCCCTGCCCCTAATACATGACCTATCATCCTACTCTTTCCACACACCTAGAATCTCACACCCTATGGATGCTTTTGGAACTTTAACTAGCTTATTCCTAGAATGCATTGGGTTTATTATCTTTCAGCACATTTTGATGTCAAATAAAATATACATCCTGTGTTTACCTTTCTTCGAACTTCTTCTTAACCTGGAACCTGAGATTCTTTTTCTTCATTGGATCCTTGAGGTCTTTGGGCTGGATTGCTGGAGCCACGTCACTGAGAGTGTATCGGGTTGGGAGAAGATGTGTGAAATTTACAAGCTGAAACAGTAGAATGATTTTATTACATAATGAATGTTCAACTTGATGTGAATCTATTCAAGTGAACAAAACAAAAGAAGACCAAAAGGCTGATAATTTGGCTCTTAGAGCATTGAATCGTCTAATTTGCAGCTTTCAGCTAATGGTAAACTGTATGCCAGCCTATTAAAGATTCATCTAAGTGCTTTGAGAGTGATTGAGCCCCCACAGGTGTGCACAGTTCTTTCATCCTAGAACTGGAATTTTTTGGAGGTCAGAAACCTTTTCTTCAAAATGTCTTTTGCATTGAGTGCAAGGCAAGCAGAAAAGAAAAGAAGCACCCATGGGATGTTGTATAAAATAGCACACCATTACGCTTGCGTGATTATTGCACTTACAAGGGGAGCTTCCCAAGTGTAACCGGAATTTCGAGTTGAAATTTCGCATGAAGATACTAGAGATGATTTTAAGGATGCCGTATTTTTTCGTTTTTTCGAATGGGGTGGGGAAAGCCCTCAAAAAAAGGGCTAAAGATGCGGAAAAAACGCGTGCGCTAGCGGCACAAGGTAAACATAGGTGATAGAGGCACACAATCCTTATCAGAACCGCATGGCCGAACGGTAGCGCGCTCGCTTCGCATGCGTGAGGTCTTAGGATCGGATCCTGATTACAGTTCGTAATTTTATTTTACTTTATGCTTGTTTATTTTTCACTTACTTTATTTTGCACCATTCGCTCCGCAAACCGACTTACGAGGTAGAACACGTAGTGACTGAAGATTTTTTACATATGCTGATAAAAACTCGAAGTTTCTCTTGGATTGAAACGTTATATATAATTGAAAAAACAAAACGCTCTAAAACTCACCAAATTTCGTAGCTAAGCTGAATTTCCGGAGTATCAGTCAAATCTGTATCTGTATCTGACTGATACTCCAGAAATTCAGCTTGGCAACGAAATTTGGTGAGTTCTAGAGTGTTTTGTTTATTCAATTATAAATATCGTTTCAATCCAAGAGAAACTTCGAGTTTTTATCAGCATATGTAAAAAATCTTCAGTCACTACGTGTTCTACCTCGTAAGTCGGTTTGCGGAGCGAATGGTGCAAAATAAAGTAAGTGAAAAATGAACAAGCATAAAGTAAAATAAAATTACGAACTGTAATCAGGATCCGATCCTAGGACCTCACGCATGCAAAGCGAGCGCGCTACCGTTCGGCCACGCGGAACTGATAAGGATTGAGTGCCTCTATCACCTATGTTTACCTTGTGCCGCTAGCGCACGCGTTTTTTCCGCATCTTTAGCCCTTTTTTTGAGGGCTTTCCCCACCCCATTCGAAAAAACGAAAAAATACGGCATCCTTAAAATCATCTTTAGTATCTTCATGCGAAATTTCAACTCGAAATTCCGGTTACACTTGGGAAGCTCCCCTTGTTAGTCAGCCATTTTCTTGCTGAGAGTCTTTGATTCGATTCGTTGTTGTCAGCGGCTGTATAAGTACAGTGCTATTCAACTTCATCTAAAAGGTTGTTCCTCAACAAGTTGTCTAGACTACCGGTCTTTCGGGATTCTTAATTGAATGACAGCCATCTCTTAGTTCTAAATTTGAAATAACTGATTGTGAGATCAGGGCACTGCAGCTGTCAGACAATAAATACTTCTACCATAAGGTTTACCTTGATGAAAGGTTTGATCTTCGACCGCCGCATCATGTTCTTCTGGGTCATCTTCCTTTTCATCCTCCTAGGGTAGCGCTGAATTCCTGCGACAATAGCGTGGGAAAACTGTTTGTCTGCTGTTCCGTCATCGTAAGCCTTGACAATGACAGCTTTTTTACCAGCGTAGCGGCCTCGTAGAACCACCACGATTTTACCAGATTTCATAATCTTCCCCATTGTGAAAACTGAGAACAAAAGTAGAATAAATACTATTTTAGTACTACTCCTTAATGGATCTTGGAGCTGAATCTGAAAAAGATTTGATTGTTACACTGAATTTACACCAAGTAAAAGATCAAAATGGCTCATCTTTGGATGCAATCTAAAAATAAGAGGATTACCAGAGCAGTTCAGTTCTACAAAAGATAATCATTAAGTTAAGAGGGGGAATTAGCGGTGATACAGGCAAAAACAGAAAGACCGCCAAAGCAGATTCCTGAAAAGTGACTATCCACGAAGGCTAAATTTTAAGGAATGCAATTTTTTTTTTAATTGAGGCAGAAGTTCAGTTAAGCAAAATGAACTAGCCTAAAGAAAGTGGCAGACTGTTACTTTCGTTTTCACACCGATAAAGGGGATTACCATCCATTATGATTGAACTGCCCCATACTTGCAACATGACAGATGAAAATTAAGTTAGACCAATGGTGCACTGCTTAAATTTTAATCATAGAATGGCCAAAAGTTTCTAAGCGCGAAGTTATTGGACTGCTGAAGGAGCGTTTCAATGGATGGGCCTTGAGTGTACCAAATTAGTGTTGTTAAAATCTGACAAAGAGGGTCGCTTGCTGAAATGGCATGAGGGTACAAAATGAATTTTAGTTTAGAGATGGGATAGTCATTGAGAGCGTTACGTGTTAACCAACATGACTAAATGTCTTCGTCTCAGAGGCATTGGAGTGCCCGAGGTTGGATGCGTGAAAAATTGTCACAGAAACTGAAAGAACTCGGATTACAGACAAGAACTATTGGCTGCAAAAATGACTGCTCTTATCATTAGTTTTAAGACTGCCATGAACTGAAATCGGAGGATTTCAGATCTTCAAGTGGCAACCGGACCAAATGGATCTGACATACGCAATGAGCCTATTTAAACCTGGACTCTTTAGTGTCGAAAAATAAGATAAGAGTCAACGTCAAACCGAAAAACTTTCAAAAATACAAATTTCGGACTGTGGTAATTACCGTCGTAAAAGAATACAGCCGCTAAATTATGGGATTGATAAATGAAGAATAGATAAAAGTTCCAAAACTTACGATTTCTCACGTCCCACGTTATGCAAAAGAAGAACTATTCTAACCTCAAACAACATAACATTGACATAACGCAACGCGTCACTCTTACGGTGGAGAAGTCAGGAACTAACTTTGTTGACACTTCTGCGCGCTCTCTCTCGGAAATTATTAGAAGAAAGACGCATTTTGAACTTAACGAAATCGATATGGAAATCGATAGCTGTATCGAATGCGAGGTTTTTTTCCCAACGCTATTCTACTTTCATTTCTCTTAATTTTGCCAATTTTTGGGTTTAGAATGATTTTCCAGACTTATGCGCAGGGACTTTCACCATTGGTTGAGCTAAAACTTCAAAATCTGCCGAAATTTTTGACCTAATCGATGCGATATATCGCATGCCAGTACGACCAGGTCCCTTGAGCTTCTTCTACGGCCGTCAAAATGAAACCGCCATTTTCATTTATAGGTTAAGTTATTGATGATTATGAATGAACGTATTGAACGTGCTGTGCCTGTGCGTCCCTCAAAAAAGATTCATCTGTTTCAATTGTGAATTATGTTCTTTCTATAGCTCCAGTCACTAATTTCGATCGTGAATTTTCTAAACTGAACCCTCATCTTTGGATTCAAGGTATTTTTTTCATTTGCTACCCGTAATTGCGATTGCAAAGTCGGCTACATGTGAATTTTAGAGGCTAATCTTGGCACTTCATACCTACAGACTTTATTAATGTTTGAGGAATCATGTTCTCATGCATAGTGCCGAATTTGCTGTTCGCACGCAGAGAATAGGAGTCGCTGGTAGTTGCTCAACCGGCATAATTTTGAAAGTGTGAATTTTTTTCTTTTGACATTAATTCAGATCGTCTTGAATACCGTGAAGCGTATTATGGTTGATGATCGGTCGAGCAAAAGTGTTGCGGTGGAGCAAACTGGGCGTTGTTGTTGTTGAAAGCAGTCGCCAGAATCCGACCAATCAGAGATGAGTTGCGAAGAATTTGCCGGATCATAAGAAAATACGAAAAAGTACTAGACTAGATTTATTTTAATAAAATTAATAATAAATTAACAAACAACAGGTACACTGGTAATGAATCGGAATATTTGGCGGTCTTTCTTACATTTAGAGGTTAGGCATTCGGCATTGATGCTTGTTGGATGCCATTGTTCACATCGGGGTTCCTCCGAATCCTACTTTTTGTAGGGTTCACTTTTATCTCCAACGTTTGTTAGAATTCCACCGTCCATCTGTCTGGTGAGTCCCGAAAAAGTTTGATTGCGTCAAAGCAAAATACGAAAATAGCATGATCCACCCATTTTGGTTTGACCGATCATCAACCAAAATACGCTTTTTTTGAGTGACTGTTGTGTTCCCTATTCTCACCGACAGCTGAATATCCTGTGAGTTTTGCAAATTTTAGGGCACAACAATGCACCCATGATTTCCATTTCCAACTCTCACTTGTTGGAGTCATTGATGAGTCTATAAATGGCTCACTGAAACCCTCAGAAAATGCACAATTTTTGGTAATTGAAGAGAATCAGGGCGCAGCTTTTATGAGTTAATCTGAACTATTTGATTTAAGTTGGTACAAATTTTGATGAAAAGGACTCTTTTTCCTGCTCTAATAGCTGTCGAGTAGGGATGTCGATATTCGGGGAAGTATCGATACTGGTATCAACTCTAAGCATTGATACCGGTATGGAGCAACGAGCTGAAGTATTGATACTTTTGAGGTATCGATACCAACGATACCTTTTCTAAATTATGCCGTAATTTGAAGTGTGCGAATTTCTTTCAGCCATTAAATTCCGCCAGATTTACGACTCTCGAAACCGCCCATATTCGCGTGCTGAGTCAACTATTATGAGCCCTTTACCACTGTAATCAAACCGAGCTTTTAATATTTTTAACGAAAGTAATCATCTTGAGAAACCTGATTACTCCGTCGTTTGTCACAGTGCATGGTGAAGGTGGAACAGAAGAAAGAGAAGTTGTATTAAAAAAAAGGAGGCCCTCTTCATGGTCAAATCGGTTTAAGTATCGATATCATTGATATTGGGGCCGACTGAGGATCGATACCACATGGTATTGATATTATTGTGTGTCGATGCCAAGTATCGATGAGTATCGATCTGAAGTATCGATATTTTGGAAGTATCGATTAAGTATCGACAACCCTGTTGAGCAATGGCTGATAGCTCCCATTTTCAGTGCAAGATTTTTACATAAGTAACTATAGAGGAATTGCACTTGTGTTTGAGATGTCGCGTGTTACAATACTGTTAACATTTTTTTGCCCCAATGGAATGAATAAGCTTGATTGCAGAAAGATTTAATCAAAAAAAATATTATTGCATTTTATGAATCGCAGAAGTTATTTATTGTACTCATCTGGTTGTAGGAGCAAGTTTGATTAGTTGGAATCTGACCTTTTAACTACCAAGGCAACAGGCTTAATTTTGCTTCTTCAGTGAGTAATTCTTCATGGTTGATCTTCATTATTGTTTTTTTCAGAACTTCTATGGGAAACTCCATCGACTGCCCATTGCTCTTAACCGATTGACAGGAGAACTTTCCCAGGATTATTATTCACCCTAGGTGGAGACAATTCATCTCCAGTTCTTAAAAATTACCAATAAATGCAGGACGATTAAAAAACTGACTCTTCAATTATCTGTTACAGCTCTGATCTCAGGCAAAAATGTTTTCCCAGGGTTTGAGCGGCGGCTCATCGTTTGGTGCAACCCCGGTTGCATCGACATCAACCAATCCGATGAAGGATTTTGAAGTCACTCCCCCTCCCGATGACTCTGTTACTTGTTTACAATTCAGCCCCCCGTCCATCCCCCAGAATTTTTTGATTGCTGGTAGCTGGGATAACAACGTAAGTAACTGTAATTTTATGCGAGCTTCGAACCAAGATATTAGGAGAAATGTACAAGTTTTGAGAGCCATAGAGGCTTCTAATACAGCCATCATAGCACTTGGATTTTTGCAGGGAGCAGAAATGCTGTAGGTACCAGGGCTGCAATAATTTTTAAGTGCTAGTATGGTTAACCTCCCTTGCGTTAAGTGATCAAAGCTTGGTGTCCAGTCTGCCTTTATACCAGGATCTCGTTGAAGTTGCAACACTAGCACTAATTAATCACCCTCCTACCTCAGGGCGACAACACAAAATTTTATGGATCAAATCAGGATGAGTGTAATTGAATTCGTAAACACCTGAAATAATTCTTTTTTTTATTCATTCAGTATTGAAACATAAATTAATAGAATAACCTCCAAACTCAGGTGATGAATGTGTACTTATTTTTTTTATTCAACAGCAAACCTGTTGTGTTACCTATCACAACGATGACTTTTTCTCAGTTAGCAGGAGGCAGCAAAAAAATATCTTGCAGAAAGATTATTTTTCTCTTTGCAAATATTTTGATAGAAAGGTAACCAATTCTGCTCAGGAATACCCTTATATTTTATCACGGATAGTTTATTCGATTTTAATAAGTCATAAAAGACTTCATTCACAAGATTGTAAAAATTAGTGAAGCACTCACAAGTTTGATCTCTTGAAGGTGCGGTGCTGGGAAATTGAACAGTCTGGGAAGACAGTCCCAAAATCAATGCAGTCCATGCAAGGGCCAGTCTTGGATGTATGTTGGCACGATGATGGTACCAAAGTTTTCATGGCCGCCTGTGATAAGATGGTCAAATGTTGGGATTTGGCGAGCAACCAGTCTATCCAAGTTGCAGCTCACGATGCTCCTGTCAAAACATGTCACTGGGTCAAAGGATCAAATTACAGTTGTCTCATGACTGGGTCTTGGGACAAGACTCTCAAGTTTTGGGACACAAGGAGTGCCACCCCTATGCTTACTCTGAATCTACCGGAAAGATGCTATTGTGCAGATGTTGTGAGTAACCAGTTTTTTTCTTTAGAACACTATTGCTTGCTGTCCTGGCATCCATCTTCTCACATTCTACTAAATCCGAGATACATACAAATGCTGCATGTTTGCAACAAGCACAAGAACATTGCCTGTAAAAGCTCTTTTCTAGAACATACTCACAATACGGAGGCCTTGTCTCCATGAGCCGTTTCACGAGATTTGTCCCAGGGAAAAATCCCACTTACGAAGTTGGGAAAAATATTGAGTTAATCAATATTTTTCCCAGTATCAAGTATGGTCCTTGTACCCCTGGGACCCACTGAGAGAGGAAGAAGAAGTGAAAACGAATTGTGCGATATTTTATTCATTACTACATTGTTAATGTTTGTTTAGTTAAAATAATGTGTCTAATTGTCAATTGAGTGCATTTATTATTATAATCCGGGTTAAATACTCGATTTTAACTACTTTATCTTCCCACGCAAACTAGTTGCAGGACTGTATGAGCCCTGTCCCGTGCAGACAGTAACTGGGAAAAATCCCAGAATTTTTATTCCTGCGATTCGAACTTGGGACAAATCCCATGAAATCGTCCCGTGGAGACAAGGCCTTATAAGTCGCTTTATTGCACTCCATGACTCTCTACGACACCTAACTTCCACTGCCTTCTGTCGAATTACAACCCTTCAGGCATCGAGCATCCAAACATTTCTGCTTCAATCCCATCCCTCCAACCTCTCATTAGGCGCTCTCTGAGCCTTCTCCCAGGAGGAACCCTATCAAGAATCTTTTCTAGAAATACTGTATTATCGGCAGTTTGTCAAAATTCTCGACAATTTTGCAAAATTGATTCAGTGGGTTTATGTTGGGTTATTTGCATAAATGAAAAATGTTTTTTCTGTTATGAGAGCTTTTGTCCATCTAAGTCTTGTTTTGAAGTACAATGCAGATTAGTAGCATGATTTTTATTGGAGTTCCGCGTTGATGGAAGCAAAAGGCGTCACGGTATGTGTATCATTCAATTTGCTGATTTAAAATTATTATGTACCCAAAAATATTCTGTGATCTATCATTTTATGACAGCCTAAGCATCACAAGATCCATTTGTGCTCAGGTACCGTTGCCAAATCTCTTAAACTTGTCCAATTTTTAACTCAAAAACTAGTAAACAGAATCACTGGAAAATTTCCCGTAATATTTCTTTTGTCATCAAAATCATTCCCTGAAATTTTCATAAGAGTATGTGCAAAATTTTTAAAGAAAAAAAATAACACAATATTGAGTTGTCCTGCAACATAGCGTGGAAGTGCAAATGGAACTTGTGATACTTGGGCCGAAAGATGACGATATTGTTACCAATAAACTAAGAATGTGATTTTCATTTTATGTTGAGAACTCGAAAGTTTGAAACTGACAGATTTCTGAAAGCCCATCTTGCCTTCTTCTTACAGGACTATCCCATGGCTGTAGTAAGCACTGCAGCGCGTGGTCTCATTATCTACCAGTTGGAAGGCACACCTCAAGAATTCAAAAGAGTCGACTCTCCTCTGAAGCACCAGCACCGATGTCTAGCAATTTTCAAGGATAAGAAAAAACAGCCTACTGGTAAGTTCTCTCAAGTGTACTTGAAATGTTTTTGTTTTCCTAAATTATCTCCTCATAGAAGGGTAAGAGTCTTGCTTTTCTCAGTCAATTTTTTTGGTTGTGTCCTCTCTCTGCCATTTCTATTTATTCTCAATTGAACGGATTTAACAGAAAGGCAGCTAGTTGCATCAAGTTTGAACGGAGAGAAGGAGGTTCAAGGTTCAATTATTCCTCCGTATAACTAAAAAAACGTTGTTAACGACGGTAACGACAAAATTTAACAACTTTTTTCATGTTGTATTTTCTCTGGACTTTGAATTTTCGACAGGATCAAATTTACAGCCAGATGAATTCAAAACCAACTCATGTTCCTAACTCATTTTTTGTTTTTTTCCCAAAATGCGACTTGGTGTCTCCGATAAATTTGGTCCTATTAAAAGTGACAGTAAGAGTTGCAGGGAGTATGAAGAATGCATTATGTGTATGGAATCTGTTTCAAAAGATTAATACTAAAAATGAAGGAGATCAAACCCAACTTCACTAACATGGATATTGCGCACAGTAGAGAAAAACAGAAAAATACACGGGCAAATTTTTCTTCAATTTTCACAGTTAGGCCCTGTCCACACGAGGGTGGTTCGAGGAACTTATTCGACGAACTTCTCAGTTCCCAGAACTTGTTCCATAAAACGAGGCATGCTGTCCACACGAGTTTGCCCAAACTGGAACCAGAACTTCAATAAAACTATACCTACAATCATTGCAAAATAATAGATTATTATGGCCGCCAAAGTAACAAAAATAAATGTCAAGACATGTAAAGGACGTAAAAAACAAGAACAAACAAATTCACATCAAAAGAAACATCTGTAGAAGCTCGGAGTACTGGGGAAGTTCTGAGTTTTGGAGGAATAAGTTTTTAGCTCAGCTAAAACTTGTTCTGGGGACAAGTTCCGCGAACCACTCTTGTATGGACAAGGCCTTAAAGTACAAAACTACCTACCAATAGACCATTCCTTCAAGTATGAAGGAGAATTCGTACTTTTGCTTTAATACCTGCAGGAAGCGCATATAGCTTCTGCTAGGCAACTGCTGCTAAATTCCCAACGATGATCATGGTGCCTGTGAACTTGGCTTAGCAGTCAAAGTGCACAGTAAAAACGTTGAAGAGTATATTATATTATATGATATGAAGATGTTGGTTTTTAATTCGTACCTCTTGATTCCATTACATACTATTGATCACCTATTTGAAAAGTCCAATCCTTAGGATATTTAGTTTGAAATTTTGGAGTGATTGAAACCCCTCAAATGAATATACGTATGCACACACTGTATATACCAGAAATCTAACATAGCTAGAACTCTCTCAAATGTAAGTTGAAATCTTCATCCCACATCATTTGACGTACCTCCCTCAGTGAAAGCTGATCTTAAGTGTTTTCAATAAGCCTTAACATTTTACATGTCTGAGTAAAATTACTTTTCAGTAACTTTACTTTGTTACAACTTGTCTCAACTTATTTAAGAATGACAGGCGATTTTTACATGTTTATTTCACATTTAATTGAATAATTACATTCTTATTTACTTTTTAATCCATCTACTCTATTAATTTCATATAATTGTAATCCAATTTCCAGTGGTACTGAGGCTTATCGATGCATTAGGTCTTTTGGCAGTAAAACCTTTTACAAGTCCCACATAGTTAGCCCGATGACTCAACCCCCAACTTGGAGGACTAGGATTTGATTTCAGAGTTGCCTCTCCTCGACAGGTTGCTTTCACTTCAGCTCAGAGCCTTGTCTGCCTTTTTAGCGGTTGGTTCATACGCTGAGAGGCCAATGACATCTCCACTACCCGCTTTAAGGCAGGGGCCACCAGCTGGAGTCTTCAGGATTGCTAACCCTGTGACAACAGTCCTGTATAAAGTCCCCCATAATCCACTTCGGCTTTTAAATAATTATATGTTTACTCAATTTTTTGAACATCAATAAATGTATATGTTACTTAAAAATTCATATTTGACAGCGATACATAAATATCTGATTATTTTAAAATTTGGAAAATTGTGGAGCATCAATTATAGAGCCAATTCCTCTAGTTAGTTTACACTATCGCCAAATTTTTTAAGTTTGAAGATTTTTTTTTACTTCTTTAATTAAAATTATTCTAATAGTAGGGTATCTGATCCCAGTTTTTAAATAGTGTTACTAACTTTTATTATGTGTTTGTCCTTTTTTTCAGGTTTTGCTTTGGGTAGTGTAGAAGGTCGTGTCGCTATTCAGTATGTTAACCCCCAGAATCCGAAGGAAAATTTCACTTTTAAATGTCACAGATCAAATGGAGCAACAGGTGGTTTTCAGGATATTTATGCGGTAAGTTATATGATTTCTGCCAGTGTGTTGTGCTACTATCGATAATGTTTTTTTTTGCCAAGATGATAAAGTGTAGTATGTAATTTCATTGCCCTAACAGTCTCAATAACTACACCACAGAACTGCCTTCATTACATTTAGTTTCTTCATCTGAAATTAATAAGTTAGTTTACCTTGTAAGGTCTGTTTTAACATGGAACACATTCACGTTTTTAAGGTTCAAATTTGTTGTTTGCACTGTTGATTTACTGTACCATAGTGATTTCGAACAATCACCTTATCTGCAGATTATACGTTTTTACCCAAGATTTTTTTAAGAAATGAGACTTTCTAATTATGAATATGCTTGCTCATCGATAACAAAACTGCAAAGCTTGATTAACGATGCTGCAGATGTCCTGTAGGAGTTTCCTCTTCAAAGAATGGCTGATTTATCGTTACTGCCAAATTTTGTGTAATTTTTCATTGCCTTTTCCACAATATTTTTAAAATTTCATTCAAAATGTAGCAATACTGTCCTAAAAAAATAAAGAAGTAATAGAAACTTAGAATTTTTTTAATAGAGGTTTTGTAATTTCATCTTCAATATTATACTACTGAGGAGTCATCTAATTTTGCAAACAAGCTGTAACTTGATCCCCAAATTTTAGAACTTTATGCCAGTAAGCCTAATATTTAGGAGCTATAAGACAGCACTCTTTTTTTTTGGGTTGATTCTTACATTCTTTTGGCTCCTTATGAAGTTAGAGCACTGATATCAGGCAACATATATCCATTGAAGATTACTTCAATCAAATGTTAGTAAACCATTAAAAACAGGGGTTCAAATAAGTATTACTTTTAAATTTTGAATAAAAAATCATCATTGCATGTACTTATTTTTGTAACAGGTCAATGATGTAGCATTCCATCCGGTCCACGGAACTCTGGCAACAGTTGGGTCAGATGGGACATTTAGTTTTTGGGACAAAGACGCAAGAACAAAACTCAAGTCGTCAGATACCATGGAGCAATCAATTACATGCTGTGCATTTAATCACAATGGTCAAATATTTGCATATGCTGTCTCGTATGACTGGGCTAAAGTATGTACTGGTTTCTATATTTTTTTGTTAAGAATTCTGCAAAAGCACAGCTAGTGCCAGACAACACTGACTACTTTCGACTGTTATGCGAAGTGAACTTTTTTATGTATCTGCAATGTTGCTGCCCTTGATCAATCTTTGGTTGATATCAGACAACAGTTAATGATGGTCCCTGCAATGGGTTACTTGCACTGGTCACAAAATTGTGTTTTGACGTTTGATTCTTGTAGATTAGCCAAAAATAATAATAAGATCTGTCCAAACCACTACTTTCTACGTTCAATATTAACCAAGATATCCCCCTTTGAAAAGTCGGGTTTTTTATGTCATACACTGCGGTAGTGACACCCTTGGTTTCTTCCACCTTGCTTTCATCAGTCGATGTTTGGTTACTGCATCAGGCACTGGTTGTTTAATGTTAAACTTGGATGAAAGCAAGGTGGAAGAAACCAAAGGTGTCACTACTGCAGTGTATGACATTAAAAACCCGACTTTTCAAAGGGCGATATCTCATTTAATATTGAAAATTAAAAGTTGCGGTTTAGAGGGATCTAATTATTTTTAACTAATCTACAAGAATCAAGCATCAAAACCTGATTCTGTGATCAGCACAACTGACCCATCAACATGTAAAACACGTGTCAACTTATCTAATACAAGCACCAGGAATCGACCGCAAGAGAAAATCCCTGAGCTAAATTGCACAGTATACAGTACTAATCTCTGCTGTTTGAATTTATGGAATTCTCAATATTGGTGCTTCAACTCAGCTGTTGCTTGTTGTTTACTCTTTGAAAAATGCAGGGCGGGAAAAGAACCCAGCTGGATGGAGAAACCTGCCAAAACTATTGTGGTGTGTGTCAAACTCCTATAGCATCTGATCTTTCTTTTTCACCTTGGTATGAATTTCATTTGGAAAATTAAAAGGTGTCCCGATGTCATGAACAAAGTATTGATAAAGAAACATGTATCCTGAGTTCCTGACGCTCAATTTCTAACTGTCTAAAGGTCAAGTTTAGCTTGGTGTTAGGTTTTTGAAAGAACTCTATTAGTAACTGACAGCTGAATCGTACTTCTGGATATTTAAACAATTTTATTTTTTATTTTCAGTAACAAGTTCCCTCTCAAGTTCAAGAGAACAGGAGACAACAGACAGCCATTCATCCATTGCCTCCTTTGTATAGTTTTCCTGTCATTCTCTGTATTTCTAGTCCAAAATTTCTAATTTCTTGTTTCGTTTTTTTTCCAGGGCCGTGACTTTTATAATCCTTTAAAGAAAAACTACATTTTCTTGCGGTCTTGTTTTGACGAGCTGAAACCGCGCACAGCTGGATAAAGTGCCATATTGCAGCAACTGGCTCATCATCTGAGATCATGTCTGATATTTTTTTCTCCCTCAAGTCTCTACTCAGCTTATTCACAACCTTTTCTTAAACAGAGTTGTCAGCAACTGTTAAAATCTGTCATGTGTCTTGCAACTGTCATATATCATATCAAGGATATGGAAATGTTTGAAAATTTCGAAAGATTCAATAACATTGTGAATGTTTCAAAAGATTGTCATGTCAGGAATTGTAGTTATTTTTGCTGTAGATAGTTTTGTAATGATCAGTAAATTCAAGTAATTGTTGAAATGTAATGTATTACCAGGATTTTTCATCTCCAGTTCTGTGTTTGAAACAGCAAAAGGAAAGAGGGCTTTTTTATCTGTACCGCTGAGTATTGCGATAAACCATGTTACTTTTTTTCCCAGTCCAGCTGGTTCTATGCATTCCAGTGAGGTGGTTGTCGTGCGGTTATGTGTAATTCTAACTTTAAGCTGAACCGCAGATAACCTGATCCATCACATGTCCATGCATTGGATCAAAAAACCCCTAAGGCGGAAAATGATTCAGAGATCAGAGAAAGGTATGATCTTTAAAAATTTCAAATTTGTTTTGCTGGTGACCCTGTCTAAATTGAAATTGGAATAATACTAGGATTCCCATGACTTTAATGCAAAATCTGATTCCCTAATGCACTTATGATATCATTATATTGAATAAAAAATTGTAAGCTGGGAAGATAGTAACAAGAATGTGCTTGCTAGAATACATTTTTGTGTTAAAATCTTTAACATCGTTTGAAAAGTGTTTTTGTCAGTAATGACGTTATTTTAGCTCTGGTCAGTTTTTTACTTGAATAAATAAATAAATAAATACACCTTTTAGTCGTCACAGTTTAATTCTATGTATGTACCTACCTCAGTGTTGTATATCTTGTACAAATAAGTGTTGTACTTAATTGTAATAGAGAATCTAACCAGCAATAATTTACAAGGATGAAAATACTTTTTATTATAAGAGAGAAACGCATGATATTTCCTGCAAGAGGCAAAAGGGGATAGGAAACTCAAAACTGAGAGAAGTGGAAGAAAGATCTTAGAAAATTTTGCTGAATATGTCAGTACACTAAGGTGAATGCCTTCGTTAGTGCACAAAACGTTAGTTGGGCTGTGTTGTTATTGTGATGCATTGAAATTTCCATGAACTTTTAAAATGAAGCATCATTTCAGGTTTCTTTTTCTAAATTTTTTATTTCATTTATTCGGTCGCAGATAATTACGATGATTTCCTCACCAATGTAACATAATATCATTGCATTTATTCAGCATAGTTAGCAGGTGGAAAGTTCAAAAGATCGCGGACGCTTCGAAGCATCGCAATACTGACGGTCCCTCTCTATGATGAGTAAAGTAAAATAATGCATATCTCAGATTACAATTTTGCAAGTCTCTTCTAACGTTCTTTTTTTAAAGGGTAGCTAACCAACAGTTTCTTCTGAAAGTTTCTGTGAATTTTCTTCTCTCATTCTAAAAAAATCGCACATATTAGCATCAAGGAAACATATCAACAATGTAACTGCTCAAATGCATATATTGAATAGTTTTCCCTGTAGAAAATAAGACACTATTGGCAATTTTAAACGTTAAAATCGAGCTACCCATTTCCCCCACTCAGCCATCGATATACTTCAACTAAGGTATAATAAGGTAGGAGAAATTTCAGAAGCCATTTTCTGTGGGCAGGTATTTTTGATGAAGTTTCATTCAATAATTTAGAAAAATCTTTATGATTTTGGTTTTAACTAAGACTAATGAAAGTTCCTGAAAGTTAAAAAAATTCTTAGAGAAGACATGAACGCTAGTTTTTAAGCTAACGGCTCAACAGGGTGGACTCTTCGCTTGGAAGGAGGGTATCGGAGGGATGTGCGCAGTCTTGAACGCTACATCTATCATACCTATCTAGAATATGAAAACCGAAAAAATGGACAACAGATAAAAACTTTGTGGTCTTCTCAGTTTTCAGATAGCATAGAGCATTCAAAATACAAACTTCATTTCAAATGCCACGCTTGATTACAATACAATATAATCATCACGGGCGATGTAAGTGCTTTTTTTTACTAAGTTGGCAACTCGCATCTTCTTGAACAACTTGTCAAAAGAGCGCGATTTTGTATTTGTGCTCGGACAATACACAGCCCGCCTTTTTACCGCGAAAAGTGGGTCCATCGCACGTGTTCGGGCGATCGATTTTTTCCAACAGACCATCTTCCTTTATTTTTCATTTTACTCACCGAACACTGCCTTTTAATACGAATTCAAGACGGATTTTTTTTATTCGAAGCCCACTAGAAGCTTCCAACTTATTGTGGCAGCAATGCGAATTAAAACAGAAATAAGAAAAAAAAAACAATAAAATGGGGGTCACATGAGTCAATTCAGCACAGTTTCCATTGGTGCCTGTGTACTTCAGTCTTTTGCGCACCCCTTAGCGCAGTCACAAATTCTGAGATAGTCGAAGGTAGTGCATGTGCCGATGAAAGTAAGTACCTCATAGTGCGGTTTTCTCACTTTTTCAAGAATTTATCGCGAATATTTCATTACTTTTATCCGCAAACTGCATTTCCAGTGAACTGTATCTATTCATCATAGTTCTGAAGGTAAACTTTACCGAATAAACTCTTCCGATTAAGTTTAATGACCATAAGCTTTTTTAGGCTAATCCATCGCATTTTTATGCATTTGTATTTAAACAAGCTTATGGATAACTTTTGTTTATTGTGAGTGTCGAAAATATTTAGTGAATCTTTTACGTTCAAGTGATACAAATCTTGTTGTTTTCCCTTGCCCCTAAGCTAATGAGTGCAACCCATGCCTTCTGTGTAATCACTCGGTTGATGAAGGCCTATTGTTATTGTGAGAATCAAGGTTAAAGTTTCTCTTGAAATCGAATATTATCCCTTTCAATTTCATATTTCTGTAGTAGAATTCCTCAACAAGTAAGTCCTAGTACCTCTTTTGATGAAGATGCTGACTAAACCTTGCGACCCTTGCTCAGACATTGTGTGTCTTTTCTCGAAATTAGGTTGTCACTCAGTTTTGTCAGAGTAAGCAGATTTGTATTCTTTTTACTCCCTGAATGCAGCAATAGTTTGATCAAATTTCAACTCTAATAGGGTGTATCATGAGCTCAGTAGGTTGTTGCTCATGAGCTCATACTAAACTGTTGGCCTCCCAGCATTACGCAGTATCATTCCTCCGCAGACATGCCTTTGCCAAGTTCACCTGACAATCATGAACTTCATCCTACTGACATTTAATTTCATATCATTCTTGCCTCACTCTTGCAAGGTACTGCACCAAAGTATTTCATGGTTCAACAGTTATTTCTGTACTGTTAAATCCATGGCAAACCCCTCCACAATCACACATCCCATCACATAGCCTAGCGCTCGCTCATTGTCCATTGAATCATTTGTTGGAGCTAATTATGGAGGGAACTCATAAAAAAAAATCAGCTGAATGCATGTACTGATTCGAAGAGTCGAGTGAGTTTGGGACTCTTAATGCTAAGTACCATGTCCTGTTATCATTCCAATCTATACTGACAGTCGAGTTTCTTCCTCAATGCAATTCTGTTTATATCTGCATATCTTAGGATTTTAGAGTTTAAACTAAGTAAGTCTACATTCTATTGAAGTTAGGAAGAACATTAGTTGTCTTTACTCTTGTCTTGTTGTTCAGTGCTTTCTGTCTCATGCTGAAAAAGTGGAATTATCTGGTGTGGGCTCTACCAACTGACCAATCCTGGCCACTGTTCATGGTTATCCGCAGCCTGATTGTTAAAATTTTGTGTTAGTCGGGTGGAAGTGTATGACATAGGTCAAATGGCGAAGTGTGATTGGTCGATTAGGTCTTATCGTTGCTTTTCCGTGCTTTGTTGGGTGGAATGGACAACATACTGTCGGATAGTCAAGAGGTGCCTTTAGTTTGTTGTTCATTCCAACCGACCAATCAGCGAGAAGACATAGCCGACCAATCATGCTTTGTCATCTATGTCCAACTAACAAACACAAAATCTCAACATTCAGGCTGCTGGTCAAAGCTGTGGAGGATACATGGGATTGCCAAGGGAGGACTGAGAAAAATTTGTTTTTTCATTTGAGAAGTGGATGTGCTCCGGGCATGGAACTTTCAATTGAATTTCTAGACAAGTTTGATTAAATGAAACTACTTTGTTTGACAGAATCATATTTTAAACGAATGGAAAAATTATTAAACGTATGCCAATATAGGAAACTAGGCTGATGCCAGATGTACCCCGCTAAACGTACACACAGGCAAGGGGGTTAGGGGAATCATGAGCCTGGCTGCTTCTCTCCATAGCATTTACCAACACACACTCACACGATTTTTCATGTGGGCCAGGAATGATTTGTAGGAATTGGCTCTCCCTCTGACTGACCATTCTATCGAAAGTATCCTGACTCATCTCAATTTTGTGAAACTTGTTATTATTCAATTTATTTCACATGCCATCAAATTTTTTTGCCCTTGCCAAACTGATCACTCACTATTCCATTTATTAAGTGCACTCTTCCTCATTTAGACAGTGTATGTTTTCCTAATTTCATCATATCTAAGTGCATCTGTGTATTTAGTACAGAAGTAGTTTCAACAACATGCACTGTAGGTCCAAGGATCAAAGACTAATTGGAATGTAATTTTTTTGCAAACCGATTATTGTTCTGAAACCCCCTTGAAGTCTGAATTTTGAAAGGTCTTATATGCTAATCTGTGCAAGGAGTCAAAATTTGTGTCAGTTGTTAGGAGACTTCAGAATCTCTTCAGCTCTACCAGTTTCCTTTTCAAAAAGCTATGTGTTCAGCTAGTTTATGCCTTCTGCCTTCACATTACCTCTCCCCCCCCCTTCCTCACATTTTTTACCCCTTTTGAGGTGCCTTCACATTTGCTCCTCGATCGGCATGCAATCGACCGATCGAGCACTTTCTGCACCCCTGTTTTAGACATTTCTTGAAGTTTTCTGTAATGTCAATATCAGTGTTCTGCCTTCCTCCTAAAATTTTAGGAGCCACCTTGGCTGGAAAGCCCAATTTTTAGGAGCCATCTACTATTTTTTAGGAGCCAAATTAAATTTTTGCACTTGAGCCATGGCGAATGAAAAGCTCGGGCTGCGCTGCTCTGTGAACGGTGCGTATAGAGAGCGCTTCATTGCTACTGCTTCTTCCCGATTGCGAGTTCGATATGTCAAATTTTGCAGGCGCCCAGGTGATGGCCCAGCTCCCCCGGGCCGGGCCACTACCAAGGCCATCATTTAGGGGTCAAGGCCGGATTATTTGGCGCATGGCGCCCAGGGAAGGCAGAACACTGTTTGATATACTTGAAATTTTGGGTTGATTTTAAGAAAAACATTTTTACAACTTAAGTAGTCACACATACTAACTCAGCACAGGTGATTTTCCATATGCATATTAATTAGTGCTAGTTCTAAACAATAGTTTTTTTGTTTTTTTTTCCAGACACATAGCTGAATTTCCATGCTTGTTTAGCATTTATTGAAGTAAGACGGAGTAACATCTGAGTTGAAGCAGCAGCAGCAAGGACAGCTATGGTAATGGAAGCTCAGCCATCTCCCCAATGTGTGGGTCGCGAATTTGTCCGTCAGTACTACACCCTCCTCAATGAAGCTCCTACGCATCTTCATAGGTAGGCAATTTTTTCTGTCTGCAGTGTAGTTTTTACGATCATCCCGGAGCATTTCTAAAAAATTCTGCATTCTACAACCTAAGTGAGTTCCTTGTAAAAGTTAATGAAACCTGAGAAGTCATGAAATATTACTGTTTCTGATGATTTTATGGAGAAACTATAAACTACTATATGTTTTTATCTGAATTTCGATTTACAATTTGTAACAATTTAGTTTTCCTGTTCAACTACACATCTGGCTTTTACCATAAGCTTAATTAAGCTTCTTATGTACTATAATTGTAAAATAAAATACAAACCAAATCAGTCATCTAAATAATTTGGATTCTCATGATAGTGTAATTAATTATTATGTCTTTAAATATTTATTGGAAGCTCTTGCAAGTACTTAAATTATCCTTTCACCGGAGGCAGATGATTTACACTGTTCAGAGTGTAGCAGGAAGTAATTAATGGCTTACTCAGTGTGTCTCCATTAAGGTTACTAAATATTAACTCCAAATTTTAGGTTCTACAACAATCAATCATCTTTCGTCCACGGAGGGATGGAGATGTTGAACGGGAACCGAGAGACGAAACCGGTTATTGGCCAGCGGCAGATTCACCAACGCATCCAGCAGCTGAACTTCCAGGACTGCCATGCTAAGATCAGTCAAGTAGACTCGCAGGCCACTCTTGGCAACGGCGTTGTTGTTCAGGTCACTGGCGAATTGTCCAACAATGGTCAGCCAATGCGTCGTTTCACCCAGACCTTCGTGCTTGCTGCTCAGTCTCCGAAGAAGTACTACGTCCATAATGACATCTTCCGTTATCAGGTATTGCACTTTATCTTTCTCTCGTCTCTCCCCAAGATGAAGGTCATTTTGATCCTCAATATCAAATTAATTTCCATAGTCTTAGAGAAGCAATCTAATTTTATGTCAGCCTATTAGATAAGAAAAGTTTTTTTAACTTTGAATAACACGTGGAACCTAGTGCACAGACGAACTCAGAAAAGAACATGTTCAGCTGTAAATTCTGCTGCTACCTCTCCAGTATATTTCATTCAACTGGAGACCTCACTCGTCATAAATTGACTCATGATTCAATTTTTTCATTTCATGAAAGGATCATTCTTTGCCCTTGAAGTCGACGCAATATACGATTTATCTTGCAGAAAACTTGACAAAGGACCCCGCACACCTCTTATGGGAAGCTGCACCACGACCGATTTTTTTTCCTACACGCTACGTTTTTTCCTTATTTACATCGGGCCTGTCCTCAAATGCTTTGTTCTTTTTTATTCATATTTGCCGAATAATTGAATCTTTACTTTGATTTTTTGTGAAAACGGTGCATCGTAGAAAGTTGGCGCAATTATAACTTTAGATCAGCTTTTTGAGGAGAATCGAAATACATAAGTCAGAAGGCAATTGGTCGTGGTGCAGCTTCCCATAAGAGGTGTGCGGGGTCCTTAGGTTTGACTCAAAAGTAATAGTTGAGTTGACCAATACGAATTGACACCAGACATTCCAGGAGTAAGTTCCACCTTAAAGCAAAACATCAGCCAACGCCAACTCCATTAGGGAAATAGGAAGAAAGAAAAAGAAGAGATTTAGTTAGAGATTAATGTTGCTGGAGCTCTTCATCGTAGTTAATTCCTTGTTTCCTTTTCTGTGCGGAAGTAAAAGAAATGCTTTTTGTTGTTATTTAACAATGATTCCACAACTCTGGTGAAACTGCAAAACCCTTTATCTTCATTGAGGTATATGACAATTTCCTTCTTCCTCAGTTTTTTTTAAGATCGCACTTCTAGACATTTTCTTACAAAATATACAGAAAATACTCCTTACAGGGCAGAGAAAAGTTTCATGAAATTTTGTGCAGCAATAATGAACATTGAAGAATATCGAATGTTAAGTGAAATCTGCAATGTTGTGCTGCCAACTTGGGCATTTTGTAATTTCATCACTGCTGAAAATTAAGTACTTTTATTTACTGTCTCATAAATTGAAGCATTTTTCCTTTTTAGAATGTATTAAATCGTGCAATTTCAAGCAAAAGCCTGAGTGAAGTAGAGAACTCATGAAACTTTCTAATGCTTCAAATCAGTAAGCCTTTCTCTTCAATCGTAATAATATTTCTCTCTTCATTTTTGTCTATACTCTCTATAATGAAAATTTTTCTTTTTTCCTTTCAGGATATGTTGATGAGCGATGAGGAGGGAGAGGGGGACTCTGGTCGCTCAGAAGCAGAGGAAGAAATGGAGGCAGAAAACCAGCCTGTTCCTGAAATGCAACCTGTAAGTTGTTAAATATCAGCTGAACTGGTTAGGAGAGATTAGGTTATTTGCACAGTTCTTAAATTTTAAAAGTTTTCCAACATTCAAGGACATTTTTGTTTAACTACACAATCATTTCATTTTTTTTTTTTTTTGTCTAAAAGGTTTAACTAAGGTGTTGTGGATGCTCAATGATTACAAATTATTTTTTTAGTAAATGTACCTTATATTTACAAAACCGAAAGTAAAGAAAGACTAAATGAAGCAAATGGGAAACTGAAGTAACAAACTGTCTGCTAATAAATGAAATAAAGGAAACTAGAAATGAAAAAAACTCAGATCACATAAATTAAGTTAAAACCGCCTATGCATTTCGGGGCTGAATTCACACTCTTCGTTGAGCAGTCGAAATTTACCCTTGAAGGAGGGGCTGGGGAGCCCCAAAATGCATCAGTGGTTTTAATTTAATTTTTGTGAGTTTGAGTTTTTTAATTTCCGTTTTTCTTTATTTTGTACCTTTTATTATTCTCTGATGCTTAGGCCTTGTCTCCACAGGCCGTTTCACGGGATTTGTCCCAGGGAAAAATCCCACTTACAAAGTTGGGAAAAATATTGAGTTAATCAATATTTTTCCCAGTACCAAGTATGGTCCTTGTACCCCTGGGACCCACTGAGAGAGGAAGAAAAAGTGAAAACGAATTGTGCGATATTTTGTTGATTACTCCATTGTTCATGTTTGTTCAGGTCAAATAATGTGTCTAATTGTCAATTGAGTGCTATTATTATTTTAATCCCAGTTAAATATTCGATTTTATCTAATTTATCTTCCCGCGCAAACTAGTCCCAGGACTGTATGAGCCTCGTCCCGTGGAGACGGTAATTGGGAAGAATCCCAGAAGTTTCATTCCTGCGATTCGAACTTGAGACAAATCCCATGAAAACGTCCCGTGGAGACAAGGCCTTAGCAATAAAAAATAAAAGCTTTCTGATAATTGGACTGCATTTTGCAATTTGGAACTATAAATTCTGGCTCATCTGAAAAAACACTTATGTGCACAGGGAAACTAATGGCACATACGTTGTTTTTAAGCCAGGCCAGAATTTATAGTTCCAAATTGCAAAATGCAGTCCAATTTTTCCTCTCCATCCAAGCTGCACAAAATTTTCAAGGGTTATGAGGATTGTTAAAAGAGTGTTCCTAATTCCTTTCTAAACCACATCAAATCAGATGCAAAAATAACCTATTTCTAGAATATTTGTTTAATCTGTTTTGTGCTCAGCAAAATCATACTTGAGCATTCAAGCCTTAAATTTCATATCAATCTGGTGCATTTTCCAATTCAGAAATTTTACTCTCTCTCTTTGATTTGCAGGATGACGGAGTTCAGCCGCAGTCTGTGTACTACTCGGCTGGTAGTCAGGTGATGAACGGAGGGCCAGTTACACAATCTGCTACTCCGATGATCGAGGAGCCTCGCTTGCCGACAGCTCCGCCGGCGTCGGCTGTGCCCAACTATAACATGGATCTCATCCACGTCCATAGCTCCCCGGCTGTTAGTCCAGTGCAGCAACAACAGATCCCGTTACAGCAAACACAGCTATCAGTAAGTTTAATATCGCAAGATCATCACATTCAAGTTTAACCTTTTCATTACCAAGTTCCCCAGCAGGTGACCCATCCCCAGAAACAGGGTTATTTTTCGTCGCGATTGCTGTGAAAAGGATGTTTCAGTATTCTTACTGTTATGTGTTTCCTGCTCATCCAAGCGACTGAAATTTTGTGTAGATGATCATGATAGGTTGTAGAATAAACGTACCGAAAAAGAAACGCATAAAATAATCCTTTACCTTAACATTTCTTGCGTAAGAATCTTTTATGCAAGTGAGATTCAATCTTTTTTTAATTTTGATAAAATTTCACATTTTGACTTGCGTAGTGATAATAACTCCTGATTCCTTCTACTGATGGAAACAACAACCTAAAGAGGTTCTTGCAGAGGCCAGAAGCCATCAGAATAACAGTGCCGATTTTCCCAAGGGAAAATTAATGGACTGAAGTGTAATGCAATGGGATTAATTTCTTTGCACTTCTGCCTGGGAAAGGGGCCGTCCACAATTTACGCAAGGCACTTAGGGTGGGGAGGGGTTCAAGAGGTGCCCTACAGGGGGGAGGGGATATCCTTTTCAGGTACCTTCACATTTTTTCCCTTTTTTCAGGTGCCTTCAAATTATTTGTTCCTTTTCTGGTACTCTCTTATTTCTTCCTAGTTTGGCTGGTCAGTCAGTGGAGCATTTTCTGCACACCTGAACCTGCTGGCAACGCAGCTGATAGCTTTTTGTATCCCTACCATCATCCCCAGAAGCTCGAAGATTTCAATCATGTATTGATTTTTCCCAACATTATCAACTCTTTTTCATCATGTATTTATTCTTTTCCAGCATGGTGTCGAAGCTTATGGCGGTGAGGCAGAAGAAATGAATGTGGAGATGGCACATGAGACAGCAGAAGAGCCTGAGCAAGAGGAAGAACTCGCTGAGCCGGCACCAGCCCAAGAAGAATACAAAGAAGAAACGGCAGTATCGCCAGTTGCTGCCCAACCTCACCAACCATCAACAGATAATGCTGGTGAGTCTTTAGTGTGCAAATATTCAGAAAGATCAGTAGTACAATATGATATAATGGTAATTCAGGGGTGCGATAAGTATGAGTAGATATCTAGATGTTTGGCTGGTTCAGGATGGAAAAATGGATCACGCAATTGAAGGAAAGATCATCTAGGGAAGGAAAGGCATCGCGATGCTGAACTGGGTTTTCTGGGATCAGGGCATTTCAAGGAAAACCAAACCCCTAAATTATGGTATTATCATAAAAGTATTGTCTTGTATGGTAACGAAACGTGGTCTTTGACGTAGCAAACGCAAAATATGTCAGGAGAATCTGAATTAGATTTTTCGGGGAAGTCGGCCGCTATCCAAATAAGGAACTGTGTCTGTAATAAAAGAATTTGTCAGCTAATGTAATGGGCCACTAGACAAGGTACGAATTTCAGCATTCTGATACATGTTTCTTAATTAAAAATTTACGTAAAATACGACGCGCACAACGAAAATTACCGAAATCAACTCCTTCCAAAGATATTTAATGATTCTTTATGCATGAATTCAAACCACCCGCTCATGAAAACTCAATGCTCTGCGTGATTCACATCGTGCGCTAAAAATTATCATGACAGTCTCTGCGATATAAAAGTCTGGCAACCTCAATCTTGACACTTTGGCTCAGCTGTAGCAAATTTTTTATAGTTTGAACAACACACGGTGGGAAATGAACATTACTAGATTGAGAAGTTTGTTGAAACTGTTGTAGTGCGCGATTTGGCTCACGTAGAGCTTTGAGTTTCTTGTCAGCGGGCAGTTCAAATTCCTTGGAACCAATGTGAAATGAAAATTTTAATATCTTCGTTTGGATTTTGTTTCATTAGTTTTCGTTGCGCAAATCGTGCTTTACGTCAAATTTTGGTTAAGAAACATGTATCAGAATGCTTAAATTCGTACCTTGTCTAGTGGTCCATTCACAAGTAACTTCATGCATGACATCATGTCCTGGCAGTTATTGTGACGTATGGAAAATGATGAATGAGAGGCTGCCCAAACAAGTCACGAATTGAGTACTTCCTGGAAGTGGAGGGCAGCCTGTCACCCACCACTTTTATAACATGACCTTACCTCATAAGTCAAGTAAACGTTCAACGAACATAATTCATTTTGCGGTGTCCAGTTTGAAATATCATAAATATATCTTCACTAATTTGTTATTTTAACTTTTCAGCATCCAACAAACCAAGAAGCTATGCCAATCTCCTTAAAGCTGGCTCCACCGCAGGCTCATTTTCCAGCCCTGCACCTGTTACACCTGCAGCAAAAGCCCCACTGTCACCAGTAAGTTATTATCTCTTTACTGAAGAGTTTGCACATCAGTGTGTATCTATATATTTGTTCCCGTCGCGTCAAGGAAACTGATGAAGAACTGTAAAAATTCTAAAACCGGACTCAATAACATTTTTAGCTCCAAGTTTGAATGCAGTTTCCGTCAATTCAATTTTTAAGGACGATTTTCACCAGTCTGCATGAAGTCATTAAACCAAGGTTTTACTGCATTATCTGGGGGAAATTAAACTGAAGCAAAAATGTTATCGATAGAAGAAGATAGAGAGCCCTCAAAGGATGTGCTGTGTGAACAAAGTAACAAATTGTCCGTAGGTATGTGTTGAGTTTTTAACAGTCACTTGGACACTAAGTATGACTGAGTGTGCTTTGTTGTTAAAAGCTGGTGTGAATTTGTGATATTGGAGCATTTTCACCTAAACGAACCATTACTAAAAAACTTTTTTGGTTTTTTCTAGCCTATTGCAAATGTTTTCCCAACACCCCGAAATGACACAGGAGGAGTAGGGAGTGGCCCGCAAAGAGGTGGCATGGGTGCCCCGCGCGGTGCAAGAGGCGGAGTGCGAGGTGGCCTCGGAGGATCTCGCCTTGGCGACCGCACCAGTTCAAACTTTGAGCGTAGTCAACCGCGACTCTCAGTCAGCGAAGAAACAGGTCAGTGCACAATTTCAAAGCTCTTCAAGATACGCCAGTTTCTCATCTTAATTTTTTTGGTTGCATTTAGCTCTGTTGCGTATGGTTTTAATTTTAATTTCATGATAAAGAAATAAAAACTCGTTTTTCATTAATGTTAAAACAGAATCATTACTATCTAGAATCTTCATCCAACTAGTCATATCACATCTTCAATAGAGAGTAAGTTGTTAAGCTATTATAAGTTCAGTGTTTTTCTGCGGGTACATCTTTGAAACAAAGTAAAGTGTAAAAAGCCTCTAAAATTAAAATTCTCAATCTTGTTACTACTACTCCTCATTCTCCAATGAAGTGTTTTTAGAGCCAATTCTAACAAATTAGCTCTCTCTGTCATCTTTTAACCATGGTGTCAAGAACCTGAAATTTCAGGATTTCCTTAGATTCATGGAGGTTAAATGAATCTCCAGGAAAAATAAGAAGTTGATTAGAGAGTCTCTGATAAAACCTAGAGTTCTTTTGCCCCAGAACAGAACTTTTTTGTTCTTTTATTCAGAGAACTATTTGCCCCTGGACCACTTAGATTTTTTTGGTGGTTAACACTGGCTCAGCACTAAAGAATTGCCTAAAATATTGATAGATCTATAATTTTGTTCTGAGTTTTGAGTGAAAATGTAGTTCCTCCCAAGAAATTAAGAAAATCAAGAATTCTGAAAATCTTACCTCTGTAACATTCGTTTCACTGAATATTTTGCTCAGTAGTTTTTAACAGCAATGTCATCTGTGTCAGTAGGCGGAAACTACACCAGCCCAGGACCAGATGCTGATCGCAATCGTAGGGGCCAGTCTGGGAGCAGCGGTGGGTCTCCGCAATATTCAGACAAGCAACAACTTTTCATGGGCAGCATCCCACCCAACTTAACGGACGACGATATTAGAGTGAGTGTCAAATTTCAGCATTGCGCAGTACCATTATCGTAGACTTTATGTGAGTCAAAAGCTTCAAAGTAAGATCCTAGATTTAAAGTAATTCGATTAACATCATATTTTGTGTCAAAACGGCACGCAATATATCACATTGATTGGTTCCATTTTTTCTTAGCTAATGGTCATTTTTCTCAAATTTTGAGATCCTAATTCTGTTGTCAGGAGACAAAAGAATTGCTGTTCCAATTTTGACAAAGAAATTCAACGTTATAAAGGCATGGTTTTTTTAGAGGAAATATATTGTATTCGAGTGCAGTTTCGATATCAGTATCGAATGCGATATTTTTCTTCTAATATAACCACGCCTTCATTCCGGTAAATTTATTTGTCAAATTTGGTACAAAAATTCTTCAGACTCATGACAACAGAAGTGCGATCTCAAAATTCGGAAAGAATGACTAGTAGCTGAAATTATGGAACAAATCAATGCGATACATCGCTTGTCGCTCTGACACTAAAAATGGCGTCAGTCGAATCACCTTAATAGCATAATGATGTTGATCATCCAAAGGTCCAATTACTGTGAACTAACCAGAAATTGCTGTCTGTTTTATCAATCCATAAATGTTTAAAATTTTCTTTGACCTTTCGTTTCCTGATTCTTCACTCATTTTATTATTTCTTTTGAAAAGTTACTTCATAGTTGCCAAAGTGCGGATGTAATAAGTGTGGGGGGGAGACCTAATTGAACTGCTTATAAGTACTCCCTCCAATTTTAAGTACTTTAAACCGTGGATTCCCCGAACTCCGTACTACTTTAAACCTTGGATTACCCGAACTCCTCCATACTGTTAAACTAATTTTTAGGAGGATTGATTTTTTTTACCCATTTATTGTCTTTCCTTTCGGTGGCAGAGACAACCTATTGTTAAAACTCTAGTATCTCATGAAGTCAGAAAAAAAAGAGAAATAAAAGATTTTTTAAGGTATGTATGTTACCTCTTTTATTGTTTTTTATCGTATGTGACAGGATCTGTGAAAATGGACTTAGCCCTTCAAGAAAAAAATTCTCTTAACTCTTTGCAAATGCATGGAGGAAGAAAACATAGAAATTTGGTCGCAAGTTTATCCTCCAAGCTCAAAAATTGGAAGAGCTATAAATCGTGAAGTTCCAGGACCATAATTCTGATGCTGCCGAAAAACGGTGTTTAAATGTTTGAAAAAAATTCCCGAAAGATAAGGTCCAATTGCACAGATCTGGTCACGCATGTTTCATTTGAAAATTCAATACAGCATTTTATATTTCAAATTTATGTTTACTTCATCACGATTTACAATTAAAGTGTGTCTAATTAGGGTTGTTGCAGTGACCTCCGCATTATCTGAACTTTCTGATATCCAAACCGGCTGACTGTTGCATTAGTTTGGTTAATCTAAGGTTTAGAGTACCCGTAGTTCTCAGATTTCATGCAGAACTACTTCGATTTCTATCAGTCTCTTGGTTTAATAGTGAATTTTAAATTTTCAGAATGTATTCTCTAAGTTTGGGGTTATATCTGAACTCCGTATCAAGAGAAACGGCCCGGGAAAACACTTTGGGTTCATCACTTTTGAAGAAGTTCACTCTGCTCAAGCTGTATTACAGGCCAGAGTAAGTATTCAGTTTTCCCTGAATTTTTAAATATTTGTTATCTTTTCTTTTTACTTTCCTCGTCAATTGATGGGACACGTTTTCTACACAACTAAAGTATACATAAAATTACGGAAAAAGAACGATAAGAATTTCAAAATCAATACATTTTTAACCATGTATCATCGTCTCCGGCATGAAGGGAGGAATCTTGTCAGTGGAGCTTCAGTATTTGTGATTACTTTATATTCATTTTTTTGGGAGAACCATTATATGTTTTTACATGGAATTTCTGATGATCTTTTGGTTTTTTTGGAAAAGGCTAATATTTTTAGAAAAATTGGTGCAATGGTGTTACCATGAAATAATAAAATGTTCGCACTAATGCTGAAACTGCAAAGACAAGATATTTTGTAGTGCACAGAAGACCTTGATATCTTGCATGGTCATCAACCCAAATAAACTGTGCCGTAAATGCCATCCAGTTACCTCTCAAGAAATATCGCCCAATTGGCATTCATATCTGAATGCAATGGTCTCTGTAAAAGGATGGAACCTTATCTTCTAATTTACTTTTGTACAAGAGTAGATAAGAAGCTCTTATTTCAATCATGATTTTAATTTTTTCAGCCTATAACCTTACCAGATTCGAACATAAAATTGAACATAGAAGAAAAGAAACAACGCTCCGGTGGCCGTGGTTTGGATGGACCCACTGATCGCAGTGACCGGGACCGTGAACGTGACCGTGAGCAGCGAATCGAACGATCTGAGCGCGAGCGTAGTGACAGAGAGCGCAATGGAGCCACCGGGGGCAGTGGTGCTGGGGGACGGGGAGATGGCGGACGACCAGTGCGTGGAGATGGAGGACCGCGAGGTGGGCTACGTGGGGCGCCCCCTCATCGAGGTGGTAGGGGTGGATTCATGAGGGGTGAGGGTCGACCTTCCGGGGGTCCTGTTCGTGGAGGCGCAGCTACCCCTTCCAGTTTTAAGCGCTAATTTATCGTCAAGCCTTTTCAAATAATAAGTATCTCATCCCTCACTATTTCCGGTTGAAAACGTACAGGTTATATTAGCATGTATATTTTGTCCGTTCTCAGCAACTCGCAATCAAGCAGTTTTTAACCCGTCGAAAGTCAGCTTTCTCACCCCTGGACCTCCGCCAGTTTGAATTACTATTGATTGTATTATAGTGTTTTAAAGACTTGTTATTTGAATTCTTTTTGTTTTTTAACTGTTAAGATTTTTCTACTTTGTTTATCAATTATTAATTTATTTTTTACGCCCCATCGGACCCCATCCCTCTCATTTTAATGTCTCTCTTCTCAAGCTCCTTTTTTTTGTTTACTATTTAATTTTGTTATTTAGTTTTTTTTCATTAATTCTCAAGCTACCCATTTGCCGTTTTTTACCGCCCTGGTACTTTTTTTTCCTTTTTTTTTTCTTTTCAAGTCTATCTTTTTTTCTCCCACTTCTTGAGAATATTACTTTCTGTTTGAATTGTTTTCTTTCGTCCTTAAAAATTGTAAATTTGTTTGTAAAATTTCTCCTTCAACTCCATGATCACTAAATTTTGCTGCTGTCTTTATTGACTGCATGATTGCGCCCCACCCTCTATCTTAGTGAGATGCATTTTATAGTATTTTTTTAGTTTTTTAGAAATCGTCTATGTGGTCGCGAAGTAAAACGAAAAATTCACTTCTAAGCCAAATTACAACTAATATTATTTTATTTTTGGCCTAACTGACTCAGCAGTGAAGCTTTGAGCAAAACTGAATTAACGATTGCAGTCTCGACTCTCTTTTATGCCGCCACTTTTTACTCTAAGTTCCTCCAGTTTTAAAGGATGAACACCTCTAGGCCATAATCAATTTTTAAAGTGATTCTTTAACAAAGATAAAGGCAAGAAGGAAATCTCTGGAAAGCTGATACTGCCTTTAGTGGTTATTTTGATTTAAAGGAAGATACATTGACAGATGGCACCACGAAAATGACTGATATCTTTTTTTCAATTCTTTTCATCATTCAAAAAAATAATAATAATAATAAACTCTTAAAGCAAGAATATTAGAAAAAAGAATTGGTACAACCAATTATTGTCCTGAAACATCACCTGTTTATCTTGAAGGTTTTTTCCAAATTTTTGGTCAATACCTGGCTCGTGAACTTATGTATCTGTTCCCCAGTTGTTAGCCAATCTTTGCTCTTTATACCAAATCTATTTCTTGAAGCGCCTTAAGTGTTTCAGAATAGCGCACAAATACCCCTTTTTTGTGAAAGCTGTGAATTGAAACTCATGATTTTCTAAGATTGAATCTCAAATCATCCTCGAAGGTACTTACTAAATTTTGTTGTATAAGAAATACCTAGTTCTCGCATCCCTATTTTTAACTTGCAGTCTAATAGACAGAATTACAAGCTGAGTCGTAGCTCCATTATGATTCATTCTTTGATGAATTTTTGAGGATTCTTTTCCTCCGCAATACGTAAGAAAAAAGGGAGAATCCCTGACTTATTCTCACAGTATCGTAATTTGTATCCATCTAACGTAGTCAAATTTGGAATTAATGCCAAATCTTGTAGTATGAAATTATTTGTTATTGATCTTTGTAATGGGAGGGTTGGAACAACTCTAAAAGTTTTTCCTGGAGGTCTGAGCATGTGTTGATCCCTCATGATTGATGTATGGATGTGTTAGTTAACACTGAAGTGTGCATCCACGTAAGTTTGGTGCTCCATTCAAAGTGATGCCGATATCAATGTCCCTGTAAACAGGGATTAATTGTTCTGGACAGTTTGCTGACTATTTACAAAGTAAAGGGCTGTTCCTCCCCTCCCCTCTTTTCATATCACTCAGTTCTTGTAAGTACAGATAAACATATATCCATACTATATTTTTAATGATATTTACTAGTTTCCCCATTTTGCCGTTCGTACTTTGTTTTTCCTCTTACAGTGCTTCGTTTTTTTCTCTTTGTATTCGTTTACTTTCTATAATATTTTTTTCTTCTCATTTATTTTTGTGTAAAAAATTGTTGATTTTATTTTTGAGCTCTTGAGTTTTGTTGCCGGCTCTTTTAAAGTGATAAAGTTTGCTGTATAATTATATTTACAAACCAATTGCCTTAATGAAGAAGTAACTTGAAATTTTTAACTAGGTTGGAAGCCGAAAATAAGTACGACTTCATGTCTCTTATAATGTAGTATGAGAGTGTTGAAAGTTAGATAAACGGCTGAAGAAGGGAAAAAATCTGCTTTATTCCAATGTTGTACCAGAAAGGTGTTAGATTCTTTTTCTTCTTGGATTCTTCTTGCCTTGTCTTATGTTCATAGCCCTCTGTACAATCTCTCGTCTCCTTTAGTGTCCTTAGTTTTTTTTTTACACAGTACTTCGTTCTGCATTTAAAGTAAATCTAGGGTTTTAAGATTGTTTTCTGCTCTATAATTCTCCCAGGCTTTAACTACTCTATAATCAAATGAATTCTCCTTAATGGGGCTCTAAACTTCAACACTTTCTTCCATCCTTATTCCCTCAATTTTACTTGTAGTTTGGTCTTGCTTGAGAATTCTCAAATACCTGTACATTGGAGAAGAAACTTGTTTTTACACCATCTACATAAGTCATCAGACCTCACCATGAGTTTTTCATTGGTCCTGAGAACAATCCAGAGACTCTTAACTTTCCCATGAATCTCTGCTGCATTATGTGCGTCAATCATGAAAATACAGTGTGTATGATACTCGTGAAAATTGGAATTGGCTTTCATATGTTTCAAGTGTAGGAGTATTCCAAAGCAAGACTGGTCCTTGCTCATTTTCTATTTTCTCTCTTAAGTGCTAGCGATAGGTTTTCTTTGTCGCCTCAGAAGAATTAAGTTGTATCTATCTTGTTTTAGGTATTGTGTTGATTATTGTTCTTGATAAAATCTTGCTTAAAATTGACTAATATGGATGAACCTAGGCAATTTTAAATGAAGAAGAAAGCATTAATGCACCTAGTCAAATTTATTTATTTATTTTTTCCTTTCGTAAATGAATGCTTAGTATTAATATCTATTTTTTCCAGTTTGTCTCTCAATTTCCCCCTTATTAAGCATATACCTTTTTTTTTAATGCAGTTTATCCATAAATCAAGAGAAATCTTACTAATTTTTCGCGTATATCCAGAAAATTTTTCTTTCGTTTTTTTTTCCTCTCTCCTACAGATTTCATGTCTTGGTTCCAAGTAACTTAAATAACTTTCTATTTCTGAAATCAAGTGATTGACAATATGAATTTTTTTTCTTCCTTCTTTCTTTAATAGGATTAGGGTTTTTTTTTTTTTTTTTTTTTTTTTTTTTTTTTCTCAATATCATTCACTCTCTCTCTCGCTCTAATCACTTACATTTCTTTCACTCTTCCCCTTCTTGTAGTCAGTATTTTCTGCCAGAAGGAAGATGTGTTTATGTCTTTTTGTTTGAAAAAATGAACCCTATTTTCTTCGTTTTCCTCTTTTTCTCTCTTTTTGTTTAGTGTCTTTTTGTAATAAAATTGAAGAAACAAAAAATATTGAACACTTAAGAGCATTGTAAACTTAAACTAAATCAAAAGAGCTTACAGAAGTAGTTTTAAGTATAACATCATTTTTTATATTTGTGATAAAAAACAGACAAGCTGAACCGCTTATGATCAGAATCATGTCACAAGCTGCCTGATTACTTGTCCTCGCACTCCATAGTGTTCTGCTCTTAATTTCGAGCACCACAATTGTTGTACATTGGAGATGAAGACAATTCAGCATGCTCTATTAGTTCTTGAAACATCAGTCTGCCTCTCTCGTGAATTTTTCAGCTTTTAGAGATCCACTATTGGACTCCAATTTCTTTGTCCTTTTAATGTAGAATTTAAAGGTTTTGAAGTGATTACAAAGATGGTGCGTTTTTTGATAAACCATTGTTAAACCTAGCTATAAAGAAATTTCAAAGAAGATCCCCTCCTTTCACATTTGACTGTCGATTCGATGTCCAATTTCTTTTTAGCACTTCATTAATTGTAGACGGTTTTCTATCTATCTCAATATCAGTTTGCATTTCAGTATCAGTAGCCACAAGAGCCTAGTTCTAGAAGAATAGAAACTTAAATCGTTGATTCTGGGAAAAAGACTCATTTTAAGGTTAAGTCCTCAACGTATTTTTATTCTACTTTCCCAATCCACTTGTTAATCCATAATCTGATGAATAAAAGCTCAGCTGCTGTGGATTTCATTAGTAGATGTAAGGATGTCTGAACAAACCTTTGTGGTGAGTTATTGGTACAGTATGTTCCCAACCGCTACACTAAGATCAGGCCGCTCTTGTGGGAAATGGCTAACAATATTAGAACTGACAGAGCTTCGTTGTGCTGTATGTCGTGTTGTTCGTCTTGTAAAATTGACAATGTGGCAACAGCGCAGAAAACTCTGAGCTATTGGTTAGGGTCTTTTTATTGTTACTCCGTTTTAACAGAAACTGTTTTGATTGCTTACCATAAACTGATGGGACACCCCTCTAAGTAGATGCTCTTCCTTAATATGACAGCATCCAATTGTTTTCCCATCTGTCAGTACCAGATTCAACTGAAGAGAAAATTCCATTTGCCTCCTCCCTCAAAGTAAAAGTGAAAAAATGAATTCATTGTCGAAGATGTCACCTTTTATAGTGTCTGCGTTTGTCAACATAAAAAGTAGGGGAACTCTATTATTGAAAATGTATTATCGCTCTTGTTGAATGACCTTATTAATCCATAAGATTATAAAGTAACGAAACCTGTGAACTTGAATATTTGAGCTGCATAGTTAGCAAGGTGCAAAGGTCTGAAAGGTTTATTTTTTGAACGAGTCTTCCATATAAACTCAGTATCTAGACCATTTTAGCTAAAAAAAAAAATTCAGGGATTTGGCCTTCATTATGCTGCAAAAACTTCACATTACATCATTCTATCTGTGACAAATGGATAAAACCAAGATATTCGAATAGGCTAGGTAATTTAGCTGTTAAGATACCTACATGCATTTTTTTTTTTTTTTTTTTTTTTTTTTTTTTTTTTTGTAAGAATATTGTATTTAACCACTTCAATCATTTTGAAGCTTCAAAATCGAAATTTTCATGTCCTTTTCTGAAGCTTGTTGTGAAACTTTAACAAACTTCTGATGATGGCTTTAGACGTAACTGATGCATCTGTTACTTGATGTTTACTTAAGTTCTTCACTTTTGACCCAAATTCTGTAAGTCTTCATTGATTTAGAATTAATTTTTGTCGAGAGCTGTGTATAAATCTGTGATCTTGTGAATCAGTCGAAATTAAAAACTGAGTAAGAATCGACACGCACAGATTCTTCCTGCTGAATCAAGAACTGAGGAAGTCCCAACAAATTGCGAAAATCGTACCTTCTATAAATCATAAATCGTATCATTTTACTCCATCCAGCAAATGATACTTCCCTAACTATTTCATCTTCTTGGAGCCATTAATTCTCCTTCCATTTTACTTCGGAGGACTTTTCTTATTGTTGTATGAAGTATCATCCTCGGTTGCTTCTTAGCGTCAATTTCTCTAATAATTGTGTGTTAGTCGTAAACTCAAACTTGTAATTACTTTTGATGTAAATAAATGTTAATTGTTTTTAACTGTTTACTTGTTGAATCGTCAGAGAATGTCAGTAGTTCCAACCTTCTTTTGTTTCACTCTTTGCTATCCGAACAACCGTGGAATTGTTTTCCTTTTGTAAGCTCTTTCATAATAATACAATTATAATATATATATATGTACATGCTTTATTATATATTATAATATTGTATTATTATCTTATTATTAATTTTTATTTTTAAACTAGGTATTTATGACTATTATTAATGCTACTATTACAACTACCATCCTCAGTACGTTTTTCTCATTTTGTAGAAACTTAGTTAGGACTGACAAGTTGTCTTGTTTCCTTTCATTTTGAAAGAGTGAGGTAAAACGTAAAGAAATTAATTAACATTCAAATTTTATTTTTTATTTTTGTTTCCATTTTGAACCAGTATCTGTACAAAGTATCGAAAGATCATCTATTTTACTTAGTCATGTTCTTATGAGGTACTCAATAGGTCTCATTTCAGTGTAGGACCGTATCACAGAAATTTTACATTGCTTCAAAATATTGATTCATTACAAACTTTGTTCAATTCCTGTGATAACTTTCCAGGGTCTGATCTTCGATTTTCCTTTCATAAAATCAGCAAGTAAAAGTGCCCTCAAACTTGCACTTTCTTTCCTCAAAATCTTTCCTAGAAATTTAGAAAATGGAGGATCAGACCAGTACCCTGCATCTTTTGTTAGGTTTTTCACCTGTGTTTTCTTTGTGTAATTTATCATTACTTAAAATTCAAAGTCTGACTTAGCGTTTTAGGGAAAAGATTAAATTTATTTAGCACCTCTATTTGCTTCAAATGTTGTATTTTGCATCATCATAGTAAATTGACCTCTGAAAAGAATAAATGTCATAGTATGTGATACAGTATACAAAACAGTAGGGGGGAAAAAATTAAGTGTAATTTTCTTGTGATGTTTTTAAAAAAAAAAATCCCTCTTCCTCTCATTATTTTGCTACGCTTTTCAACTGATGTGTTAGTTATCATCGGTTCTTCTCTTTTCTTTTTTAATTTTTATTGCAGCATTTGAGTGAGGTTTTTTCACTCCCTCCTTATTTTCTTTGCTTTGTGCCACACTTGCAATTTTACCATTTAATTTATTCACTTGGATTCACATCTCGTCATAAAAAAATTCTTTTTTTCTTGCAAATTAAAAAGTCTCATTGGTCATCAATTCTATTTTTTCTTTTCCCCTTCTCTATCTCTCTTAGGTTTTGAAAATTTGGTTGAAGAATTCAGAAATATTCGCGCATTAAACTATTGTATGGTCTTACAACTTGTGTAACACTGTTTACCACACTACTAATTTATGAATAGAACTTTGTAGATACTTATAATTCTCTCAATGAATTGAAATTACAAATTTGGAATGAGAAAATGTAAAAAATTCTAAAAAAAAAAGATAAATTGTAAAAAACCAAAAAAAAATTGAAAAAATAAAAGAAATACAAAATAAAATTGCTTAAAAAAATGTGCCTGTCATTCCTTTGTTCTTCCTTGTTCCTGTTGGGATCTGTGTAGTGATAAGCGTGAATGGGACTGCAGCAGGAGAGAATTTCATCGCCTCATGTGAAAGTATTAAAAGAGCCAAGTTTAGAACATGTTTCATCATTTTTTCCCGCCATGAGTTCAAGGAGAAATTTGCTATCAAGCTAAGAAGATCACCAGGCAATATTTCTCATTTACTTTTAGGGCTGTTTGGTCGGTTGTCAGTAAGCTACCGAAACAGTTCCGTCAAAAAAAAGTTACAATAAGAGCGCTCTTACTGGTAGCGATCTGAGTTTTCGGAGCTGGCGAAAATAAGATGTTGCCATTTGTACACTTATTTTATGCGCCGTTGCGCCAGGCAATCTGACAAACTGATACACAGGGCAACAATGCATTGAGTGCGAGCTCTCAAAACTCCTATAAGGTGGGCTGTCAACGATATCATCGCCATTGTCGGTACTGCCACCAGTTTCGGTAAGAGTTAGCATTCCGGCAAGAATTCGTTTGAACACCCCTATTTACACTGGTGCATTTCTACACATCTAGTATACTCCGTCATAACTCTCTCAACACTTTTCTTATTTGAAATTCATGGTTATTTTAGTTCCAACTCACTAGATAGCTAATATGCAAACTAAAATATTTTGACCTCTGGAACTATCATTATTTACCATGCAATTTTCTGACCTCCACATTATCCAAATTATTTGTCAGTTAAATTGTCACGGCCATTTTTTTTTTTTCTTTTTTTTTTAAGAGGAAATCTTAAACTAAAGTGATTTTTACTTTGCTTCAGGATATGATAATAATCAAGAAGAGAAACAGGAGGCTTGAGTGTGAACTCTATTTATTGAATAGCTTTATTAAAGATATATATATTCATATATAATTATATATACTATTGTATAACAAAGTAGATACCTACACAACAAAATCAAATATACAATGTACAATGTACAGTGCTTGTCACTATGCAACACTATGTACACATCACTAATATTCAAATTACTCAACTAGTCAACACTTAACCTCATATTTTTGCAAGGCTAAACAATCAGAAAAATGCAGCTCAGATGGAAATGCTTGGGTGGATATGATTAAAATTTGCAGAGATCTGCCGGCGGTTTGAAATTTCTAAGCAGGAGGTTACTACCCCATTCTGAGCAATTTTAATTGGGAAAATCTTTCATTTCTGGCAAGAGTGAGTAAAATGACCTTACAATAATTCCTCAACGAGCTTTATAATGTAGAATACAGGACTATACCAAGAAATTCGGCGCAGGCTAGATTTAGATAAATTATGTTGCTAATGGCATTTTGGGTGCGATGAGCTTTTAAAATTAAATTTTCTAAATCCCAATCTCGAGTAAAACTGGGCTGAAATATGAATTCTTTTGTAATTTAATGCCATATCAAGTAGAAATGTTGGAACGTCTTCTTAATGATCAGAGGGATATCTCTCTTTAGTACAAGCTGGGAAGATAAGACAGATGAAAAGAGTCAAATTCTGCTGAATGACAACAGCATGCAACAGCTGAGTCTACACACACACACAGCAAAAAACCCACACTTCCATTATACAAGGCATATTTTTATATGCCTTGGCCTTGCATGGCCTTTTTAGGCCAAAAAATTTCCTTTCGTGCCCTGCTTTCCTCGAGATTGGCTCCTAGAAAGTTCGATTTTAAAAGCTCAGAAGGTTGTAAAGAACATTATATCAAATAATTTAAGAATTTAGCAGGTACCGAATTTCTGGGTATTGTGTGTGTGGTCCTCTTCTCTGATGCAGCAATGTTGTTGATGGTTCATTTCAAGTTAATGAGATCTATGAAACTAAATTACAAACAAATGCGTTCTTCATTCTGCAAATCTTCAACTTTATCTACCAAAGAGTGTGAAAAAAAACTGATTCAAATCTTTTTTACATCTTCATCCGATGGGAATAGAAGGAAGGAAGTGCGAAACCATTCTACATAGTCCAGGTGGTTGATTCTGCAGACTGTCAGGATGAAGTTGCAGAATCAACGGCGCCTGGTGTTGAGTACGTTTGTCACGGTCCAGAAGAGTAAACTCTTCCTGAATAGGTGTGATCACGAACTTGGACTGTGCATTAAAATGTAAGACATTTTCCAATTAACTTGGAGGAAATTCAGAGTTGATCAGGAAAACTTACATCTTTGGAAATGAAAAATAATCAAGAAGGACTAGAATGTGAATAAAAACATACTGGACTTGACAAACAAACAATAGAAGTTTGATGACAAGTAATTCTTGTTTTTTCAGCAATGATTGAAGGTGAAATTGAAAACTTGAATACCTACAATAATTGATAGTCAATTCGGTGCATTTAATTCTGGAATCGTAAACTGTACAAAAATTGTAAAAAAGAAAACAAAAAAAAAATTGGAGACATCCTAGTAGCATCATCTGCCGTCTACTTTTCACAAAAAATTTTTGGTACACATTAACAGATGGGAATGTACATGATACATATATACAAAACATACAAAAGAAATATTTGTTGAGTAGTGTGCACAATTCTTGAGCATTCCTCATTATTTTTTATTCTCAGAGGTCAGAGTCAAAAAGTGGTCAGAGAATCGAACACATGGCAACTTACTGTGCATGAATTACTATTCAAACTGGTAAAGTTGGAAAGTCTAAATTTTTTCCTTACTTGCTCAACTTTTAGTGTTCTCCAATCCATACAATTGAACAAATGCATTATGCAGCATTTGCTAATTTCCAGTATTCTTACTTTTTCTTAAAAACTTAAAAAAAAATAGTGAATTAGATTTAGAAAAAGTGGGAAAAAGAGAATAATAAATGGGAAGTGACAAATGCATAACAAAAGAAGAAATGACACATGCAAATGGCAAGAGATATTTTCTCTTGTGGTAACAAAGCATGATATTTTCTAACAGGGAATACCTTGATTGAATAATTGTAAGCCTGCTCACGGGGTCTCTACGCGGTACATATAATCCGTTCAATGTTCAAAAATATAATTCTGTAGTAAATTAGAAAAATTCAAAAAATGTTAAATTAGGTAAGAATTACCTATCATGAAACATATTAACTTTATAATAATCAAATAAATCTGTATTGTTAGCTGATCAAATTAGACCTCTTCTCAGCTTAAGCCTTAACTTTCCAAAAAATTTGACTTTGAGTTGGAATTTCTTTTCACAAAAAAAATAAGTCAGATAAAGCATTTCGTACTGTAGTATTTAGTTACAAAATTCCTCAGAGACAGTATGATGTCCTTAAAACCATCAAAATGTGGACATAATTTAATCTCTGACAACAGAATGAAATAATTGAAACGACTGATACAAGATAGACAGAAAATAGGCAAGAACAGCACAAACTGAGAACGTAATATGGGACAATGCAAGGATCTGAAAATTTTGCGCAACAAGTTTTAACGATTCTCTTCACTAGTTAAAAATGACTAAAATGATGGTAAATTTACTGCTTCTAGATTTTACACTATTTTCTTTCTTAGTACACTTTTACATGTTTCCTAGGTCAATCTTCCATATTTTTTGGACCAGGATGACTAGTCATGTTATTAAGAAGAAATAAAATTGCAGGATTAAATTGACGCCATCTAGTGCAGTAAATTTCAAACAAATTCTACATCAATCTTTGTACATAATTCTCCTGTAAATATCTTATAATAATGCCTTGGTTTTTAAGTTTACATAGAGTAAACTGGTATTCAAAAAAGTTGCAGGACAAAAATTACTAGAGGAACGCTCGCTTAGCGAAGACAAGTTAGGAGGGTATGTACCAGGTATGTTCATAGATGGATAGGTTATATTTTGACCGAAAGTCAAGACTAAATTGATCTAATCTCATACTTCATTGTATATGAAAAGAGGAAGTATGTGCGAGAACTTGTTAGTAATATTGATCAGTAGAGATTACTTATCTGATTGAAGGTACATCTGCTGACATCATAGTGATTTGTTTGTAGCTAAAATAACCTTCAAGACAACAAAGAAATGCATGGATTCCTGGGCGATTCATTAGAATCTACTTAAATATGGGATGATATGAAAAAAAAGATATGTTGATATGAAAGACATGCAATTTCATGGAAGAAAAACCAAATAATTTGTACACTATCTTTGTGTGGACGGGTCTGGAAAAAAAGACTGAGGTTGAAACTTTTGCAGAGATGAAGAAAAAATGTAAGTTATTCGTTCAGAAAGGGAAAAAACACAAAAGTTACATGAATTATTAAATGGAATAGTTCAGAATATCACGCAATCAATTTTTTATTTAACTTCTCTTAACTGCGTTTATATGATGAGTTAACAGGGCAATCAAAAAAGGGGGAGAATCTGTTGAAAAATTTATGGCAAAGATAATCGTTCAACTTAGAAGAAATTCGACAATTAAACGAGAAAAGAAGGCAAACATGAGGCTAAAATTAATGAAACTATTAGCTTTTCGAACCTCAGCATATGGGAGGTATGATATGACGCCAGAAGATATGAATACAGAAAGGAAAGGTCCCATTGACATTAACAACTACCTATTATTATAATGATCTTGGAACACTCAACAAAAACAAATACAAGATGATAGAATACGGCAATTTTTAATTACTGTTGTAGAAAAATACACTTACTCTAATCAAATATTTGTGCACCAAATGATTAAAATAACACGGACTATGAGAAGGTGGTTCGTCCGCAGAGGAGCTATCTGCACAATTGTTACAAAAGAGGGGCTAAAAATTTGTTACGTAAAATGTCTTAGAGATAGCAACCAAATAAGGCAAGAGATTAAATAACACCTATTTTAAAGACTGCGGTTACAGGATGACTGATCTTTTTTGGTCAAGGCACCAAAAGGAAAGAGGAAACAGCATTCAATCTAGATGCACATAAGCAAGTTCATGACACTTCCACTGCAAATCACATCCACACTGCAAGGCAGTGTCTAGTGTGGTTCTCTAGCTGTTATAATTCCAATACAAGTGCATTCAATGCTTGACTTGGGAGCAAATTAATTCCCTTTCCCTTTGACTACCACAGTCTATGGAAAATTAAAAATACTGACTTCTACAACGCAAATTTTCATGAGTCACCGCAGACATGACAACTTTGGACAAAAATGATGAAAAACATTGTTCTTAGGAAAAACCAAAAAAATTGATATAAAAATAGATATGATACAGCAGTGAATGAAAACTAAGGTCAAACCTCACACTTCTTCAAAGTTAAACATTTTGTGAAAAAGAGTCAGTTTAGTCCAGTCACAGTTCAAAGACAGAAAATTATTGGTTCAGTAGAAAAACATAAAAAGTTAAGAGTGACAAAAAATTTGCAGAACTGAAGTCAGCGCGTTAATGAAAAATACCCTTGGGACTTTGCATTGAACAAATCACACTAAAAATTGCAAATATTTTGAAAACGAACTTTTGGGTGCTAAGATTCAATAAAAAGACTTTTCCTTGAGGGGCATCTTGGATTGGGGGAGGGATGATTTTTAAAAATATTATAAGGATCTGGTACAGAAAAGGAGACACAATATGTAATGGAGGTGAGACAAAATAGTGATATTGTGCTTCCAAAGTGACTTCACAGTAAAAGAGACTGTTTGATGTTAGAAAAATTCCTAAAATGAAAGCATCCTCTGCATCTGATCCTCAGGAAATATTGTGCAAAAAAACTTCCCAGGTCATTTCTTGGTTTATTATCAGTCTTATCTGACTTCAAACAAAGACAGGTATTGATAAAAGTAGAAATATTTAAATTTTTTTGAATAACTTAAGTTCTATGAGCAAAATATAGTAAAACATTTTATTTGAATCTAATATTTACTACTTCTTGATGGCAAGATGATGTAGAAAGGTCATGGTTAGAGAAAAAAGTCATAATTTAATCCGATCAATTAAAAATGTTTGAAGATCTAGGCATGTATAATATACCAATTATTTAGTCAAAACNGCACGATTGCATTCACTACTTAATGATCTTCGGTCTGGTGATAATACTCGTAGTCAGATGTTTAGCTGACAAGCGAAGAAAAATTAAAAAAGAACTTCAAATGATTCGTGCCGCGCAACGTGCAAACTTAGTGTGATTCGCGGAAGTGACTTGGATATGACTGGTGGAATAAAAATAAAATAAAAAGTATAAAAACGAAAAGTAAAAAATAAAAAGGTGCGGGAATAGTGAAAGGAAATAAAAAATTGTAAAAAAAAAAAAAAAAAAATTAAAAATAAAATGACTTCAATGCCTGGTCTCAAAATCTAGAATTACATGAGTTTCGTTTCTCCACAGTTCCTGAAAAATATTCAACGTAGTAGAAACAAACAAATACTTTAATCAGACATAAATATTACTCAAGTAACATCACAATTTTTCAAACTTAATTTCTTCCTAAAATAAACTAGAGAGTGGCACTATATGAGAGGGTCCGAAAATGTTAAGTTTTCCGGGAAAGGCAGAGGACAAAGGAAGAAACATTTAAACAGCCGAGACTTGTGCATTGTCATCATCTGAAAACAGAGAAAAAGCATTCTGTTAGAAAGGTTGCAAAAAGAGAGTAAAATCGATCATTATAGCTGACAAAACACTTATAATGTAGATATTCCTTTCGCTAAAAAGTGAAGAACATCACTAATATTGTCAATTCACTTTGAGTCTATGACTTCGATGCATAAGATGATTACTGGGTGATTTACAGAGCTTACAAGAATTATTAGGTACAAGCACAGTTAATTGATCCTCAAGAGCATAGACGAAAATACTCATTAGCACAGTTCCAGGACAACTGTCGAGTTAATTATCATGGTCACAAGGCCATTATTCTCATACATGGTGTGTACTTGCTATTACAAAATCGGGTCAACTAAGCATGAACAAGGTAACTCTTCCAGATGCTGAGCCATTGCTTTTGTCATGTTTATCCCATTGCCAGATAAATAGCGTGAGTGAATATTGCTCGTAAGAGCATTTGAGAGTATTTTGTTCCCCTACTGATTACTCTTACTACTATGCGCTGCAAGCAAAAAAGTGCTACGGCCATAGAGGCAAAAATGGGTTAGTTAGAAATTTTTTTGGAAAATCCTCGAAAGTCAAATCCTGCTGCATCAGGAATTAATCGAATTAGGTAATCATTAGATCTAGAAATCTTCAAGATAACTGCCAGAAATCGAATGTATCTGCAGAAAAAGATTTCACTCAGCTTTGATGCCTGGAACTTTAGAAGCCTAGAACATGGATGTGTGATTCTGACAGCTTGACCAGTTTGCTGGGCTATAAAGAGCAAAAAAAATGCAGTTTGAGAGAACACTGCAATTCACTTAGTCTTTCAACCACTATTTTCATTTAGGCCATTATTTCAGAGATACCCCTTTCCCAGACATCTCTATCTCAGAAAGTTTCAACAGCGCTGAAACATTACAAAGTACTCGAGTGCACTGGTGGATACGTTTTGGCATCAGATTCCCTGGACCACTATTTTGATGACAAGAGATAAGAATGATGATTAAGAAAATTTTCCTATGTTAAGAGATGAGAGCGATAAATGGAAACTATATGACAGAGAATGAAGAGATGGGAAAACCTTACCATCCTCATCATGGTCAGTGTGATAGTAGGAGGTAACGCCCTCTAGTGAATGCGCCCTTCCAAATCGGTTGATCCTAGCTGCCATTTGAGCGGCTACGTTGTATGCTGGAGGTCGACCCCGAATTGGGATACCTGAAAGGGTGAAAGGTCAAAATTAAGGTTCATACTAGATGAAAAAACGACAAAGATGAATGTCAAGAGAATAACGACATTGGTTAAATATGACAGAAACAGACAACATATCAAAGATCATGCGTCATGATGAAATCTTTCAATTTTCGACATGCTGCGTGCAGTTACGCCATGGTGATAAGAAACTACAACTTAGCTCTACAAGTATACAAGCAGGCAATATTTAATTACTAAATCACAAGAAGAATGAATTCCTGGTTGGTTTTCCTCATCACTCACACTCCATACCAGCTTGAAAATCGGTTTCAAACTTAAGTTTCAAGCTGTGGACTAAACTGTGTTACTCGATAGTAGTAAATACAAAAACTATTACCTAGGTACTGACTTTTTACTCTATATCTATTAGCTACAGATGCTCACACATGGAAAAAATACATAAAATTGAAGAAAAAAATGAAAAGGCAAGAAGAACGGCAGAAAATAAAAGAGCAAGAGTTTATGTTAGTTAGAAAATGTATCAATTTGCACTAATTTAGAGAAAGTGGTGCAAAGTTTTGAACACTGCCCTATAGTATAGACGAAGAGTATTTATCACCAGAAAGACCTCATTGTATTGCCATTTTTTTTTTTGCATACAAGTTAATTAGTAACAAGTAATAACTGCTATCATAATGCCCATTGAAGTTAATCAAAGCGAGTAAAAAAAGAAATTAAGGGAGCAAATCCTCTGAATAGCCTTACATGTCTAAATAGAATTGAATTTTTTGCAGAATTCAATGCTCAAACAGCAGTAAAACTACGGAAGTTACATTGGAATGCCAATTGGCTGGCTAAGCCATTAGATAAGAAATAAAGATAAAAATCAAGCTACAAGCCAAAAAACAAAGTGTAATGTAATGTAAAATGAATGTAATATTAATCATTTATTTTCTTTAAAAGCGTTTGTATTTCTGTTCACCTGTTTCATTGATCCATTAGTTTTTATTGTACCCAAACCACTGATGAAGATCCATGAGATGACAGGTCGAAAAGTCTAGTGTTATTGTAAGTTTCTTTCTTTTGTCACCTTTTTTTTTTTTTTTTTTTTTTTTGCTTGCTCATCATTTACCAGAGTTGCCACACAATTTTTTTTTTTTTTTTTTTTTTTTTTGGTAAATTGCTTGCTTGCAGTTAGAATCATGTAATTGATTAAATTATATTTTGTTTTTTTGGCTTGTGGCTCGATTTTTATCTTTATTTCCTACTCAAGCTCCTTGTTGAGCAAATCAACCAAGCAAGTGCGTACTATGATAAATAAAAAGTAGCTACGGATCTATACCCTTAAAAGGAAAAACTATAATTTTTTCCTCAAGTTTTCATTCGGTTTTTGAGTATTAGTCACGGGGAAGAAAATGAAAAATTACCCACTAATAGCATTTAAATTTTAAGATACATTTTCAGTCCACCACTTTATGCTCGGCAAGCTTGGGTAAAAACTTTACCAAACACAGCCCGCTCCTAGACTGATATTATTTCATCAAAGCTGAAGAAATCTGAGATTTAATTGTTTCAGCTTTCATTTTATCTGGGACAAAACTACGCTAAAAATCGACTCTTGATAGCTTAACAGATTTTTGACATGTTTCCGATGTATTTTCCTCCTCTACTTCCTTTGAGAACTTGGTCCTTCATAAGAATCTATGGCATTAAGTTTATAATCAAAAGCCTTCTATCGCATCAGGCTTACCGTGACAAGGAATGGAGGGCAGCACTTGAACTGCATGTGGAAATGGAGGTCGAGGGCCAACATAGCCTGGCAGCAATAAATAACAGAATGAGAAAGAATTAGAAGAAACATATGAAACATTTTCAGAGAACAGAAGAATACTAAGAGTTTAAAAGAATAGAAGGTAAAAATGAAGAATGTGGTTTGCTATCCTGTAAACAACTGCACTGAAATAAATTGGATTCATCGAGAGAATTGTTTCCATGGCAGTTTTTCGTTGTGTTGAGAAAAACACTCTTTGCATCAAGGCAGCAACTGATTCCGCCAAGTTGAGTTTTAGTTGAGACAACAAAACGTTTATTGTCTCAATGAAATTTTTATTTTCCTTGACACAACTGAGATTTCATTATGGCAAAGCATTTTTAGCTATCACACTTAAAATTCTTCTTGGCGTTAAGTATTAATAACTTTCTTATGGCAACCAATATTTTTCTCAGCACAAGGAGTCACTTGCCAAAGAGATGGAGCTGGTTTTCTCTTGTGCGAGGACTGTAATTTTTCTTGGTGTGGAGGAATTTTGAGAAAAAGAAAAATTGTCCTTGAAGATCTTTGAAATTTGGGGTAGAAAAAACTGAAAGGCTCTTTTAACTAGATCCTTTGAAAGTTTGGAGAAAATTTACTTTGTACCTCTGGCCCGTCTCCCATAAAAGTAAATCCTCCATTCTTCTCATCAAATCCATGCCTTCAAACCACATGCAATAAACATGCTATAAGGTGCGAGTTAACAATCTTTTGAATAAAGAAGGATGGAAATGGATGGTTTGTACACGTTCAAATTTTTTTGTGAGATTGCAAGATAAGCAGAAATACATCAGAAGAAGTTGCAGTGTTTCAAGAAAATTATGTACTCTAAATGAGAAACAGGAAGGCTAATGAATTGACCTTCAAGGATAAATGTTCGGATGCAAAGAAAAAAAGGACAGAAAATTAATTAAAAAACAGACACACTCTACAGTGCTTAGCCATGAATCGAACGAGAGCAAAAAAGAGGGGAAGAGTTTACATTCTACTAATAATTAAAAGTTGTTAAATAAATTCCTCCTTCATCACAGCAAATGATAAAGACTAAACTAAAAGAGCAGTGTTATTGGTTGATTAGATCGTGATTATTGTATCATGTTTTTATTAGGTGAAATTCCACATAGTGAGAGTGCTGTTGTTGAGAATAAAGACATGAAAATACTTAATTTCAGCTTAATGTAATCATTTACTCTAATAAAGAAGTCATTTTGAAAATCGGCCTTTTAATCACATAGACTAGGGTAAAAAAGCGATACAAGTGAAATTATATTAGCAAAACTGGCATATTCAATTATTAGTGCAATATTACAATGGATCCCTAGACAAAGTATGAATTTCAAGCTGTGCTACATACTGTCCCTTCAAAATTTCAAGAGGAGGGCAAATCACATAACTGAACGTCTAGAAATCAACTCCTAACCATGATTAAACTGGTTAAATGGCAAAAATATAGATGATTTCATTGGTAGAATCTAATTTCCATTTAATTCGTATCAGAGGTACTGGTTAATACTTCATTCAGGAGTTGATTTTTAAACTTCTATGAACTGTTTTTCACGTAAGATTTTGAAGAGAAAGCAAATTAAGTTTTTGTCTACTTCAAACCTTGTCTGGTGGGTCATTTTCTATGACTACAATATTTATTACATTGCCAATTATCAACAGCAGAATCTGGATGCAATGGATAAGGTTGAAATAAAAATTGTTGTTAACAGGTGCACTTTGAAGGAGGGGGAGAAGGGGGGACAAGTTGTTAGTGAAGAAAGAGACCTGTCTCGAATGGAAGGAAGACTGATTGAAGTTTAGATTACAAAGACTGTGAGGAGCACACTACAAAATGAGACGATTGAATGTATGAGAGATAAAGGTCATTATTGACCCTTTCTCAGAGAATCACGATTATTCATGTCCTAGGATTGACCCACTTTGAATGGTAGAACCAAACTTTTTAAAGGAAAAATTTGCTTTAAATCAACAGGAAACTCCTTTAAATTAAGTTGGGGAAAAGTAGGGAATACGGTTGACAGCATTGGGACTGAATTCATAAAACAAACGTACCAGGTGGTTGCATCACAGAATGGCGTCTCATTTGTGAGGGCGGCGACGCGCCGGTAACGGTCGTTTCTACAGAGCTATTCGAATGGGAATCGAGCTGGGTCGAGTTGCCAGAATCACTGGAGGTTACTGACCCTGGGGAAGTCAAACAGAGTGTAAGGTAAGCGAGTGCAAGAGAAAAGTTTTTGCCTGAGTCCATTAATTAAGATTCTATTACAATGATCACATAGATATTTGAGAACAGTTAAGAATCTTAGAAATTCTCTGGAGAGTTCTAGCAAATAATTTTCAAATCTATCACAACTATATGTAAGTTGTAATTTTCAGAAATTAAAGTTAGTACGTTGGCATCAAAAATTCAGTTGAAGCGTTAGGTCACATGACAAGGAAAAAAATGGATAATTTACTAGAATTAGGGGCACTTCATTTAATATCAAATTTTTGCATTTTTCGAAAGACTACAAGTACTTTTACCGCAGGAACATTCTTTATTTCATATGTACTCAATATTTTGCTGCTGCACTAATGACTTCAGAGGAGGCTCTCATGAAATGTAGTTGAAATAGTCTTTCTGAAAATGCATATTTTTACCAACTGAGCTTGTTCTCAGAGTTTGGATGAGATGGAAGAGTAAAAATTCCTCATTTAAACATAAGAAATTCCTACTCTTCATAAAATTTGATCTGATTAATAGTGACGGAAAGTTCAGAATTTAAAAACAAAAAGACAATCCTTAAGCATATCAACTACGTCCTTTTTACTATTCCAACTTATAGGACCAACTTGTGTTGATCCTATGGTCCAGGTGAGAATTTTTTTTACAGAATTTAATGAGTCTTAACTGAAAAAACGATAGACGCCTCAATTCTACATCTCTTGTTTGATGTTTTTTGCACAAGTTTGTGTATATCATTGAATTTCATTGCAATCCTGTCACTTAATGCTTTACAACTCACGAGCAAATAACTACACAAAATAAAATTTGGAACTATCAAAAACTAGTCCATCTTAAACATGCAACCACACAGAGAATCCCAACCTTCTTGACATGAACTTGAATAGCTAAAGCTAGAGCCTGGTTCTTAACACACAAAAATAAACCATGTCCCAGTTGCCCAAACACAAAGAGGGTTGTTCTAAAACATAAAAATTAAGATCCTGTACCAAGACATGAGCAAATTATAAACAATACGCACTCATACACATCTTCAACCTTCAAGTTAGAAAATGTCACGACTGTTGACAGCATTTCTTTTACAGTCGTCTAGGACGGTAACACTCGAGAGCATTTGTTTCAACTTGCTGACACCTTGGATTGATGACATAAGCATGCATAGTACCTGATGTCAATGTTTTTCTAAGCGGAAGGTTAGAGAGACTAGTGACGCTTGAGCTTTCCGCATTCAGATCTACTGATGAGAGGAGCGGAGGGGGGTGGAAGTGGGGGAGTACGCCACCACTAGTGTCGCTGTGCGAACGCTCGTGCGTGTTCACTCCGACCCCTGTGATGCGGCGCGGCGCTCCTGGGCTTGGCGATGGCGGAGGGTGCCGTGGCTGATGAGGCCTTGTTTTACCCGTTTCACTAAGAGAGAGCAACTTGCGAACAGCCTGCGGCGAAGCTGACCCTAGCATTTCGGAACAAACACCCATGGTTAGCTGGCGAGATAATGGAACAAAACCAACATTTGGTCTCGTAAAATTCACTTTTTAATTATCAGCCTGCTCTGAATGCTTTGCTGATACTTCTTACTAAACCGGCAAAAACACTTTGATAGATTCTTTAAAGGTCTTGAAACTATAGGACGAATACCAGAAAAGACAGAAGTAATATTTTTATTTTGAGCAATGGACAGAAGGGTGCATGGGGATTAATTTCTGCATTTTGTCATCTGATATAATATAAAACGGTTTTATTAAGTTTTGTCTAAAGAAAAAAAACCTTGATTTACTTTAACAATGAGTTTTTCTTCAGGACAAGACTGTTAATTTTCAGAATGGTAGTTGGTACGCTGAAAAAAGCTTCATTGAATATTGCGAGGTTTAGCTAAACTGATGAAAAGAAATTTCTTCCTTTTTAATACTTTAAAAAATTAAGATAAATATTTATAAGATTAATATACATTGACAGCGCCAACTTCACACCATTTCATAATTTTTCTCAAAACTTTTTCTATTTAGAGAATGGAGATAGGGATTATTAATTGAAGACACAATTCTCATTCAGAATGTACTTAGGAGCTCAAATTTACTCCAGAAATTTTCTCAAAGGTTATAATTTTCATTATGATTAAAAAGTCTTTGGATCGAAAGGACAGAAACTGAAAGTAAGTAAAGTCTTTCTTGTTCAGGCTGTTTCCGATCATAAATAGTAAACGCCAGATTTCAGTTCTAACCTTTAACACAGAGGTTAGAATCATAAGATTTTTAATGCAATGAAAATTTGAATATCTTAGTCCTAAAACAGCCTATAACCTTTATTTTGCTAAACATGAATATTAAGAAGTTGCTGTGTCAATGCAGGCGAGTTCCTAATCATCATGAAATAGGGTATAGTATTAAGTCACATCTGTGAGTAGTTACTACGTTGAGCAATAACTGTAAATGAGAGAAAATTAATTTTTTTTTTTTTTTTACTGATTCAAGGATGAAAATTATTATTAGAGAGAAATTTTAACTTACAATTTGAATTATTAGTCATTGTAAAGTTCGTATAAATCTATAATGCCTATTTGGGTTATACTGAGTTTAGGGATGATAAATGAAATTCAAAAGCAAATGAACTGGTGATGAATTAGTGAACAGACCTACTACCCAACCCCAAAAAAAGTACAACACACACATACACAAAATATTATGCACTAAGTAACTAAATCACACAAAATAATTGACATTACTATGCTCAGGTTAAATGATTGAAAAAGAAAGGATAGAAGGAGAAAGAGAAAGAAAAAGAGAAAGTACCAACAAAGAAAAGACTGCACATTAAAGATATATCCCAAATAAAAATTTCTTTTTTTCTTGATCATTTCAACTCGGTTAAAATTTGATTGAACATGGTAGAGTATAAAAGTAAAAAAAAGTTACGATTTCACACATCCAATTCAAGAGAGAATTGAATTTTTATTTTTCTTCTTTTCCTCTTATTTTGTTTAGGTACAGTATTAAATCATCAACCAATACTTAAAATACTTGAGAATTGTTGGAATCAATTCGTGAAAAAAGAGATTTGTTCACATTAAGATTACCATTTACCAACAACGCCATGTATTTTTCTGTGTTTACTTGTAATTGGACCTATGTCTGTCATTTTTTTAATGCTTAAATGAATATTTACAGGAAATCTCCCTAAGAAATTGGAACCAAAATAATCGAGAAACATAAAAGGCATAATGTTTTTGGAAAATATAAGCTTAGATAGATACCCTTGGCACACAAACTCCTGTATAAGACTTCCTGTCAAAAAAAGCAACTTTTGACTGTCAATTATCTTACATACTTTTCCTCATAAAAAATGGTACAAAAAACAAAACAAAAAAAAAACAAGAAACCCAGAAAAAGCACCCAACTGACACCCTTGAATGAATATATCTACACATTGACTGCAAGGTTTTCCATTGGAGTTTCTCAATAATATATTGTATTTTCTCACTTGTTTTCCTGGCCTTCAATCAAGCCAGGTTTTCAGGAGTGACTGAAAAATGGTGAGACAGTCAATGTGCCTAATATTGGACCATTATTAAAAATCGCCTATATTGACACTTCATTAGGGGGAAACCACAGATATATCCCAGAATGGCCTCCCAATTTCCCAGCGAGAGCAAAATGGGCAAAAAACAACACAGACACAGAGAAATACATCTCAAACTCACCGAATTTGGGGGCTCTGTTTTTCCTGCCTTCGCTGGTGGAGCTGGTCGAACTAGTCGTGGAGAGGGTGGGTGATGGGTGTCGCTTTCGAATGGGCACGCTTCCTGGCGTCGGCCCGAGGCCGCTTCCACTTCCGCTCCCTTCGCATTCCAGCGACAAAGCGTGTAGCTTGTCCTCATCTACCACAACTTTCATTTTGTTCAAGTATGCTTTAACACGCCGCACCATTTGGGCCTGAAAAAATCAATTGCAAATGAAATTGTTGACATTTCATGAAGATAATTCATTTCATCAACTTCCGGCGCTCGTAGAGAAATTTCAAAGCCTTTTAACTCATTAAATGGATTGCATTTTGCAAATAGGAACCAGGAGCATTGCAATGTTGCTAAGACTGTGCAGTTTCTTTTGTCTTGGGAGAGGAACTTCATTATCTATAAATTGTTTCTATTTTATTCGATAAAAACTGTAAATTTAGGACAAAAATTACCATGTAAATTTCATATTTTTTCAGGATTTCAATGTTTATATTGCAATGGATGAAGTTGCACAATCTTAGCAATATTCCAATGCTCCTGATTCCTTTTTGCAAAATGTGATCCAGATGATACTTTAACTGAGGCAAAAGCATTTTAGGCACTCTGCTAAAAAAATTAAAATAGTCCACTTCATTAATGCAGAACAACTGAGGATAAAATTAAACATGGCTCACCAGGATGATTGAAAACTTGTTGAGAATTAAAAAAAATCCAGCTAGAAATAGCTTATCGACGGTGAAACTACCAAACCACGTATCTCGGTTTGCGACGATGCAGACTTCCTGTCATACTTCATTTTTTAAATGAAAAACTACTTAACATCCAGTCTTAAAAATTTCTGTGATTTTTCCTCTTTGTGCGAAGAAAATTCCGTGAAAATTTCAAGGAATGATATTGATTTGGTCTACTTCAAAAAAATAAAAAGTGAGCGTAGATTTTTAAACACCGCAAACGAGATACGTGGTTTGGTAGTTTCACCGTCGTTATGCTAACCCAATTAGCCTTGTAGGCCTGGATACGTGGTTGTTCAGATTCATTCATAAAATGCCTGATCTTCCGATCCTAGGATTGCATCATACATAGGGCAAATCTTAGGTCTTGGGGCGATTATAAAATATACGAATTTTTTATTTTTTGGCTCAATGCTTCCTTAGAGTGGGTTAGAATATTATGTTGTACAATCGAACATTTCGCCATTAAATTGGATACTTGGTTGTGAGGCGAATTCGAAATGAGACCAAGAGGCCAAAAAATTGGATTACAGCAGACATCCGTATTTTGGAACTTTGCGAACCCCCAGTTTCATCATTAATACATCTTTTGAAAAGCTCTTTATTTATAAAGGTCTCAAAATACATTGGATCCGAGGATTAACTTAACTGGCACCTAATCTAGATGGATTCCGTTTGCTTTCCTTGAGACAAAAAACCCAAGAAAAGTTACACGTGTACTAGGCGTACTGCACAAATAAGGAGAATGCAACTAACCTCTTCGAACATCTTCTTAGGGTTGGGAGCGCCAGCAGACTTTTTCCGTCGCTTGACAGTTGTAACACCTTGTTGTCCAATGGCAGCTCCCGTTGTGAGCTGATTAAGCGCTACCATCGCACTCGATGGTGGTTGACCTCCTGAAAACAGATCATTGTCAAAAATCAGAGGTACTTACATACTGGTAATCTGAGAAAGCCATTCATATCTTAGGATGCCTGCATACTCTTCACGGTGTCGAGAATTCGATGGAATGGGAAATATTGTTAAAAATTTGGTCTTTCCGTCCTTTCCTTCATTCGAAAACAAATGTGGCTCCAATATTGCCAAAATTCAAATTGGTTCAATATCTCCACAATATACGAGTGTATATATGATGTTCTTTCTATGCATAGCAGTTAGGGTATTTATTCGAGAGGACAGTGTTGCCAAAAATTGATCATTCAAAGGCTTTCTTCTTGAAGTTGGGATTGCTTATATCTATTGTTTAAGCGAACCATCAGTAGAGAGTTAAGTAAACTTCAAATTCATATGTGACAGGCTTTGATTTTTCCTTTGAATAGTGTGGAATCAGCATATAATCCTGTTACTTACAATATTTCGACCATACATTAGTGTTCCTTTTATCCCCCCTCTCCTTCTTTTAAAAGTAAATACAGTATACATGAGTGATGCATTTATGATACAACTCATGTGTACACGAAGGTAAACAAAATTTATTAAAAAAAGCGGAAAAAACGCACGATCTTACCTAATTCTAACATTGTTAAGAGATCATAAGGTGATGAACACATATTTGTCAGAGTACGAACTTCTTTTGCAATCATTCTAAGTTTCTCGAAATTGATCAAACCCTCAACTCGTGAGTCGTTGCCTAAATGAATGAAGGTTAGATCTTTCTTCACCACTGGATAAAATGGAATCTGTGAGTGAAAAAAAAACACACGAAAAAACCCGTTAGAAATTGATGAGACATGTTTTATTTCGAGTCATTCCCTCCCTCTTTTTGAGGTTGTATAGGGGTGATATAATAGATTAATAAGGATGAAGATTAGCTCCTCATCTTGTCAGACAATCTTCCTGTGGATAGTTACTGAATGACTATGTAATTAATTATGTAGACAGATATTAATCCAATCATTATATAGATTTAAGAGAAGGAAAGAGAATGATCTGCGGACTGCCCCAGCTTGGTTGAGCTGTGTTGGTGTCCTGCAGCCAGATTATTGAAACTATATCGGCATTACAACACGAGACTATCTGAACCAGGCAATACATCGGATTTCATCGGCTACTTCAAACTTTCAATAATCAGCCTTCTGGTAAGGAACACGAGGACATTTAGTCATCATTCATGTATAAATCGCTAAGATAATGTCAGATTTTGCAAAAAAGTACAAAGGCTGTCTAAGAAAGACCTTGACTGGCGTAACAATTAAAAAACTGAAAAACCTACTTTGCGGGTACAGGTCATTTATGAAGAGGACAACATAATCAATCAATTGAGACCAATATCATGTTATTTGAACAAAAACTGGCCGAGATATAGTAGTTTGAATATGGAAAGTACAAAAAACTGTTAATTTAAGCTATCATAACTCGCCCAATATTTATTTGAAAAAGCTTATTTTGGTTTTGAACAATTGATTTCTACTTCTTTTTTCAAATGAAATTGAGATCAGCTCAGTGGGTTGATTAGTTTTTTAAACACCGTGCCAATCCAGGTTTTTTTGGAACAGCCTTTGTATTGCATTATAGAAATGCTAGGTAATCTTTCTCACAATTATTATGCCTATTATATAATTTCCTCTCATTAGAAAATTAGATTTTTTAAAAAATTGCTCAATTAAAAAAAGGACTGAATTAAAATTAAATGGAAGCATGATACGATAAATCAATTAAAAAAAAATTAAAAATAACTGAGAGTAAGAAGAAAAGAGAAATCAAAGGAGATGGAGGATCTGACAGGTGAGAAATACAAGAACTTACGATTGGCGGTTGAGTTTGTTCACTAGAGATCAACTGCCGATATTTGCTCATATTGCGCGATGGATCCATTAGGTCTTGGAGATCGCTAAATAATCGCTGGTACTTGCTCGGTAACTTTTCCCATGATAGTCTTAACCTGCTAACAGCTCCATGGCCCAACCCGGAGATAATTGCGAACATAGAGTTGAAATTCTTACACTCTTTGCACTGACGCGCCACCTGCAACAAAATCGATCAGTTCAGATTCAAACATCAGAAAATGTCGTGCACACTTTTTTTCAGCATAAAGTTGAGAAATCAATAAAATATAATTTTGCAATTACAAACTACTACTTCTGGCTTGCATATGAACCATCTACGTGGTCTGTCCGGAAAGTATCAGGACTTTTTGATTATCTCGGAATGTAATGCAGATAATGAGCTGAAACTTGGGTTAGACTTTGCCCATGTCCTCTCTAATGCAGCCACACAATCGGGCTTTCACACTTTTAATCAGTCGATGGCAATCAACTGATCAAAGTGTGTGTGTGATCAAAGTGCTATCGTCGCGTTTTTCTTTTTCGTGAAATGACCGAGCGTGAAGATCATGAAATTTGTATTGAATTTTGCTTTAATCTGGAAAAATACTGCCAAGGAGACCATGGAAATGATTCGGAAAGCTTTCGGCACTGATTCTATGAGCAAGAGCAATATTTATGAGTGGTATAATCGTTTTAAATCGGGTCGTGAAACAGTCGCTGGTGATCCGCGGTCCGGGAGACCTTCTTCGACGAATTCTCCCGATAACGTGGAAAAAGTTCGGGAAGCTATTGCCCAAGACAGTCGGTTAACCGCGCGGGAACTGGAAGAGCAGCTAAATATCCCAAAGATCATCGTTGCGGAAATTTTAACTGAAAAACTCGGGCTCCGTAGAAAGGCAGCGAAATTTGTGCCAACGCTCCGGCTCATTCCTCCTGTCTTGTGCAACAGTTTCTGGCAAAGCACGGTATTCCTCTGGTTCCACATCCTCCACACAGTTCAGACTTAGCTCCTTGCGACTTCTGGCTGTTTCAAAAGCTGAAATCTCCAATGATTGGAACTCGATTTGACTCCATAAATGTCATCAAACAGAATACGACGAAAGCGCTGAAGGACATCCCAAAGGAGTGCTTTTTGGACTGTTTTGAAAAGCTCAAAAATCGCTGGAACAAGTGCATTGTGTCTTACAGAGAGTACTTTGAAGGAGATTAAAGTCACAATGTCATAGGTAAGCTCCATTTCTCAAAATCTAAAAAGTCCTGATACTTTCCGGACAGACCTTGTATCTGCATGGAGAAACTAAAGGCACATATGAATTTTCTATTGAGAGCCAGAGACACCAGTTATTTATTGAAAAATGTGGTCAATTATTAGTTTTATTTAGGCAAAAACACTAATTATGCACAGTACAAAGGTATACTTCCTAAAAAGATACAAAAAAGTTTTTAGGTCCAAATACAAAAAAAAAAGAGGGAAAAAAGACACTCGTATGACGGTGAGAAGATCCATTGTAGGATTGTCTGTATTGAGGACTAAAATTGTGTGTCATGGTAAAATGTTCAGGTTTGGAGATATCATATCATTAAAATATAATTCTAGAATAAGTCTCCTGCAAGCTGAAGTTTTCCACATTTAAAAACTGGTGTACAAGAGGCGAGTTTCACAAGTATTGAGACAATAGCTTCATGCAGCTTGAGGCTTTCACAATTCACGATTTTTGCAGATCAGATGGAGACTACAACTACATGATGAACGAAAAACATACCTTGATAAACTGCTTGATAATCTTTGATCGCCTGACTAGATTGTGCTCTGAGCAGACTTCCGTCACCACCCAAAACATTTCACGGTTTACGAGTTCGGCAAACTGAGACAGCATTGGTGTTCCATAGCGACTCTTCAAATCAAAAAGATCGTCCACATACTCCGTTGACTCTATTTGCCGAAAGATACTGAAATCTTGAAGCGTCAGTTGAATGGCAACTTCCACTGCATTCAACTGTAAAAAGTGCACTTGACTCTCCCGAACCAGTTCACTTGCTAGGTCATCGCTCACCAATGTTTCCGTGCTTCCATTCATTTTCAAGTAATACCTGCTACTTAAGCCTATTCTTTCTGCCAAATTTTGCAACTGATCAGGTAAGCGTCTCTGCTTGATGATTCCACCCTCAGCAACTGAGACCTCACATAAAGAGAAATTGGAACTGGGTTCCGTGATACCAAACTCTTGAAGTGCCAACATGACGACCTCATGAGCTGTTGTTTCTTTGTGAACTAACAGGTACTTGCACGTTTGATCCGACTTATAGACCTTTAACACATGTTCTGGGTAGTCGGTCCGCAAGTCGTCGTAACATATCGACATTAGATCAGGGTTGGAGTGCGAGTGCTGGTACAGGGAGGCATTGTGCGTCTGATGGTGGGGGATGGAACTGTCATCGCAAACGTCTGTTATGATGTTCTTTGGCAAGATATTCATTTTCATGAGTGCTTTCTGCAGGCGTTTCTTTGGGCCAAGAGTCATGAAACCACCCCCGGAGCTTGATTTATGCGCAGGTGTCTTGGCGCTGGGTGATGGCGGAGGAGGAGGCATGGGTGCATGCGTGTGGTGGTCCCCCCGTGCCCGAGGATCAGCTTGTAATCTAGCTATTTCTCCAGCTGTTTTCGCTCGACCGCCTCTCGAGCGCGGAGAGTTGTCAGGTGTTGACAACATTTCTTTAAAAACTGAAACAGAGGAGGTTAACAAGTTAGAAAGTCAACAGTCAGTTCAGATTATTGTCCCAAAAACCATAACTAAGGCGATTGACCCTTGCTTTGATTCCTTATATCAGCTGTTACAGGTGCAAGGAACAGGTTAAACACTTAAAACCACAACATGGAACATCACATTTCAAATATCCTAGATGCTCTAAATGAAATGACCCCTGAGCTTATGATTGTCAGTCTGGTTTAACCAGTAAAACGCAAGGTAAGTTCCGCAAAATTGCAAAAAAATTATTGATCAGGGAAAAAACAATGATATAACAAATGCAGAAACTTCTATCAAGCTCTTAAAGAAATGCTTGCTGCTTTAACTTCATAAAAACTACTGCTTATGTGCAAGAAAGAATTTGTCAGAAACACTTACCTAGTAAATTGGATTTAACGGTGATGCTAAGGTGGGTGGTGCCTCGTAACACCTCCAGTGCTCTTTTATGACTAACATGCTCAAAACTTTGACCATTTACTTCTAAAATTTGATCTCCACGTTTCAAACCAACATCCTCCGCTTTAGACCGCTTGTCAACCTGAGAAAATTTGATAAATTTATTGAAAACGCAACTCGCAGAATTAAGATACTTAGGGGATAGTGAGTGTGATAAGTCTTGTTGCATTGGGTCCATGATCCATGGTTCATGGCATGGAAGTGCTGCAATGCCAGTGCTCAGGCCTCTTGAGGGCACCTCTGCCAGTCAGCCCAACTCCCCAACACCGCAACTGCAACTATGTACTCAGAAATGTTTGAAAGTGGGTCTCCTCATAAGATATTTGTTAATGTTGATACCGCACAAAAAGCCGACGAATGTTTTTGAGGGGCGAGTGTTTGAGAAATATTGGTACATATTGCAGAGAAAAATTGGACCTATTTGAAAATAGCTTTATTCATTTGTCTTTTCTACAAAAAAACAAAAAATAAAAATAAAAGAGGGTTGAGGGGAAAAAGCGAGAGTGACAGTATCAAGTTATCTGACAGTTTTTTGAAAACTTCAAGGTATGGATGTAAATTCTACAAGGTAACATACCTTAGAGATGAAGATTCCGAAGCCTCGTTCATAGCCGCCCAGTACAGAAAAATGAAGAACCTCATCTCGCGAAGGTCGTGCAAGTGTAATTGTTCTAGCTCTAGCTTTGGCTGCACATGCGATGTTCAGCAATCTGAGTTGACTGTCCATCGACTCAGACTCAAGACCAGCTTCAAACTTCTCCAGGAACTCCATCATGATTGGATCCGTTTCAAAGTCAGTGAAGTGATTGTTAACCCATAGTAAGACTACCCTTGTCACGCGATCGCGCGCACTTTGTTCTTCAAACCTAGAAGAATTTAATAATCAGCATTAAAGTATTTCTAACCTCTTCCTGAAAGAGAACCTCTACGGGGCCCTCCTTTCAAAATATACTGCAAGGGCAAAAGTAAGAAAAAATTTTAATCGACTTGAGACAATGCCCTGTCACATTTCCTTTGGGGGACAGAGTTTCTGTGAGCGTAATTTAAGTTAAACTGGTCACGGTTAACTCCTTGGAGTTCCTGTGTTTTAGATTTTTTCCCTCAAACTTGAAATCAATTTCAAGCAACATGTTTGACTTAGCTAGGCTATCAATAAAGTTTGAGATCGAAGTCTTATTACTTCTTCACAATATTCTGAGAAAAAAGTAACAAATTTTCTTCTCCGATTAAAAATAAGCAAGAAGAACTAATACGGCTATTTTTCGATTATTTCTATTAATTTATCGGTGGGATTGATCAAAATTTGAAAAAAAGATCGCTGAGTAGAAAGTAACCCAATGCCACCCTCATCTTGTAAGAAAAAATGTGTGCAATTAAATTTTGAGTTTTAATTTACACAATTTAAAAATGAAAAAATCCAACTATCATTCAAAAATACAGAAAATGGATGATAAACTTCTGACTACATATTTTAATTATGGCGATAACACAGGTCAGAAGGGTGAGATAAATTATGACTAATGCATAAACTTAGGTGAAATGGACAGGCAAGTATTACAGCGAAAAATTTGAAATCCTCGAATGAATGGCTGACAATATGATGACACAGAGTTGTGATAAACTTTGACCTACTCTGACGATATGATTTCAATTGCTAATTTACATAACTAAACTTATGAATGCCAGTATAACTATCGCATCATTCTGGGTCTAACTTCATGATTCCATTCATATTTCATGTCGATAAACATTGAGTCTTAATCTTTGATAATAAACAATTGAAGGAAATTTTCAAATCCTATTTGGTTACTGTGATTTGACGGCAAGCTACAATCATACAATTTTAAAAGGAAAAAAAGAAACAATTGATGATACATGCTTACCATTGTAAAAGTTGATTGGCTACTAAAATAGAACTATCTATAAAGGTACGGTGAGTGAGTAAAAAGTCTTCAACATAAGTTGGGTCTATCACGGAATTTTCTTCGATTAATTGTAACATTAACCGTTCGGGAGTTCCCTGAAAGAGACAGAAAGAAACAAAAAATTTTCAGTAATGTCTGAAAATACAAAAAATAAAAGTAGAAACTCATCTTTGGAAACGACTGAACTGTGTAGATTGATCTTTTCAACTATTAAGTAATATGTTGAAGGGTATCAGCTGGAACGCCATCAAATTCATTTTATCTCGACTAAACAACTTCTTTTCAACTTCACTCACATCATACTTAGGTATTTTTCTAAAAAATAGAAATTCCCCCTAGTTGGATTTTAAAACACCCCACACGTGCATCCGATTAAAGATACAACATCTTAGATTCTGATGAGAGATTTAAAAATACTGTTGAACTTGGGTGGGGAAAAAAAATTCAGGATGAAGAAAGAAGGCTTCTTTAAAACTGTTCCTTGAGTATTCGAAATTAAAATTTGCCTCATAATTTAAAAGAAATATTGAGGGAATCTCTGAAAAACATTTAGAATACAAATAGTTCATATTTTACTGACTGGCGATAAAAAATTGATTTTGGTTTTTCAGGTTTTATTAAGATCAGGAGTTACAAAAATTAATTCTGGGTAACTTGTCCTCTAATTAAGGAAGCAGAAACTCCATCAACTAACCCTAATAACAACGTGGCCTCTTCTTCCTTGGTCTAAAGCGCCTCGCTGCTCTGTGACCATAACGAGTCGTCCCTGAGCATCTTCGTGCCGCCTGGTGTTTTCTGCGCCTTGATGCTGAATGCGGTAGTAATCGGTTTGTGTTACACATACAAATTGACAATCGTCACATTTTGTTCGCATTACTCCACGATGGTAAAGTTTGTCCATTGTTGGTAAAATGCCAAAACTACAAAAAAAGGAAAAAAGTTAGGTGATTGTCACAGACATTTCTTGGAGGCTTCCTAACTTTGTCCAACACATTCTTTAATATCATGGTGCCATTAAGAAGGCTAGTAAGCTCTTCAATTTTAATACATCTGAAGGCTTTTGGAGAGTTCTGAAAACTTTCAGAATACCATGCAGATATTAAATAAGTTTCAATTTGATGATTTGGACCTCCGGACTGGCATCTTACATTTGCAGCCAGAATATTAAAATCAAAACACCTGCAACATATCCATCTTAGGTACGGTAATTGAGGACTTGGGTGTGAAAAGGGCAGTTTTGTAACAAAGTTTAAAATTCCCACCAACAATTTTTTGTGGGGAAACTACTGGATTATGAAATATGAGATTTGTGTTGAGGATATTGTTAAATTATGAGGGATATCTCATTATGTTTCTATATTTCTGCAAGCATTATCATACCTATTAAGAGTGTAAAGGTGTAACAAGGAAATTTTTAAAAACTGAAACTAAGAATCGCCTTTTTTACTCCACAGTCCTCAATCATGATAAAACCATGGTATTGTTTTCAGCTTTTCAGCAGTTCCTACTTTCTTTCAGTTGGATCACAAATGGCAAAAAGGAACCAGCGCGATTACAGCCTTGTAAAAATGTTGCTCCTTCATAATTATTCAAAAAAATCTCCCAAAATAGCAAATAGTTTTGGCTTCCCACAAAAAAAATTAATGGATAATTTTGAAGGAAAATAACTTGTCTAAATTTTAATACTGTACATTTATTATATAGGTAGTTTTAAAAGAAAATAAGAAGTTGCACGATTTTGAAAACACTGTAATCGCATTGGATCCTTTTAGCTAAATACAATCCAGTTATGCCTCATTGGATAGAAATCTATCCTTCTATAAATAAATAACTTTTTTGTTAAGAATTCAAATTTCTTTACCGACTAAACATGATATTTTTCTACCTATGTTGTTCCTTTACTGCAGAGTGAATTTCTTTTTTCAACAACTACAAATCTCTAACTGCCAACTCTTCACACCGGATAAATTCATGAAATTTGAGTTCCCTTTCTATTAATGAATAAGATGACCTAAACTACCATGCTAAAGAAAAACGCCGTATGAACGTTCAAGAGTAGCTAAGTTCCTCTGAAAAAAGTTTCATTTTTAGGGAGACTTGTGAGTATTCTGTCTTGAAATTTTCAGAGAATTTAGAGCTGATTGTGAATGGAACTTTCTGAAAAATTGGAGGAAAAATATTCGCAGATTTCCTCGAAAATCCGTATCTTATGGAAAGAAATTTGGCAACGTCTGAAGGCTCATACGGCGTTTCTCCTTAGCACAGCATTATAAAGATATAATACGTAAGACTCACCTATCACCAAGATGGAGCTGCTCAGTGCAACCATTGCTATGTTCAACTTCAACGTGGCCATTGATAAGAACACTCCAGGAGTCCAGTTCTTCACCATCGTTCATAACCAGGGTACCAGCTTTCTCAACCACAGCAAACACCTGTTAAATATTAAAGTATTAAAGTCAACTGTTTCATTTTTATCCGGGCAATCACTTGTAAGATTATTTGGATCAAACTTTTGCAATGTACCTTCAAACTCACTCCATTTGAGATTGATTGAGTTTACCTAGAGCATTATTGAGGATCTCATCTTAATGGATCTCAACCAGCTTGAAGGACTTTTCCGGTCAAGAAGCAGTGGGAGCATGTTATAATTGAGGAAGTTTCAATGTATTCCTTTAATTTTTTCCTTGAATCCGATAAACTTTTAAGTACCTTCTTCAGGGAACTTGCACGAAATGATGAGATTGAAGTTTCTCTCACCCTGTTATTGTTGCTATTTTAAAACTTGGTGCATGTGATCATCATTTTTCTTTTTACACATAAGGAAGGATCTAAATTGGAAAAATTTAGCTAGATGATTTTTTTAAAGAAAATTAATTTTAATAATTCTTCAAAAAAAAGTTGAATTAATGAAAAAAAAGGAAGAAGAAAAATTCTTTGCTTTTAAAGGTCTATAGACAAGAAGGAAAGATTCTCGATGCTTACCATGACACTACAGAGCGCTCGGCGCACAGCTAAGGTCATGTTTGTGAATGCTTTGAGATGCTGTGTGAATTCTAGTAAGATTTCTACATCATCCTCTGTTCGTTCTGAGGGATCTTTCTCCAAGCATTCTCGCACAGTATCTCGCACGGCAAGGCTCTGTAACAGAAGGCAGAAATTATTAGTAAGTATCTTGAAGGAAAAAAGGAAGTTTTTCAATTAGTTGCGATTAAAAAGTCCCAATTCAAAAAACTGCAAAACTGATTTCAGTAAAGGACAGTCATCATTCACAGAAAAAAATAGATGGCCCTGACGACAAAACCTTCTGTTCACAGGGCTCCTGCAGTTTCTTTGGTACACTTACAGAATTTTTCAGTTGTAAGAACAGAAAAATTCTCTAAGTGTAACAACAAAACTGCAGGAGCCCTGTGAACAGAAGGTTTTATCGTTGGCACCATCTATTTTTTCCTGTGTTTCTCAATAAAAGATATATTTCAAATTATTGCTCAAATTAAGGGTGAAATTTTAAAACTAGCAAGATAATAAACAAAAGTTGCATGCTATCGTTCAAGGATGCAGCTTTTTAGCCTTCCACTTGATATATGAATACGAAATCATAATTTTCATGAGAACATTCATTGAGGTACTTCCAGGCTCCAGTCTGTGGAAGTCAGACTTTGAAACAGTCTTTGATTTTTCTTGGTCTATTTTCAACAAATATATCCCCAGGAAGTAGAAACTTGTTTCATTAGTATATATTAACGAATTTTCAGATAAATTACATCACAGACTAAATGCATTAATTTTTTATTCTACAATTGGTGAATTTGACGAACACAAAGAGTGGAATTAAATTCTGACTTATGATCTATCTTCATACTCACTCTGCTAGGGGCTTATGCTTAACATTAAGTGTGTCCAGTTTTTAGTTTCTTAAAAGCCATCGTCTCCACATGGCATTTCCAACTTAAAACTATACAAAAAAGTAATTCGTTGAGCAATTAAATACTCACATCTGTGCTCTCTCCAAGATCTTCTTCATCTGAGTCGACTATTGATTCGACCAGACCGGAGAGATCGACTTCGTCTGCTTCTACAGAGCTGTGGACGCTTGTCATTGTATCACTGCCAGAGTAAGCTGAGCTCGTATCCGAAGAGTGCGAGCTGCGGTTGCTCTTCTGGTACAACTCCGGCCTTGTACCAAACTGTAATCATACAAGAAAATATCATTAGTATGGAATCGTAGTATGGAATAGTATTAGTATCATAATCGAAATTCAGATAAAACATAAATTAGTGTTTAGTTTCTTCATAAAATCATCAGAAACAGTGATATTTCATGATTTTTCTAGGTTTCATTAAGTTTTTCAAGGAACTCATTTAGGTGGTAGAATGCAGAATTTTGGCAGAAGTTTTAGAAATGCTCCGGGATGATCGTTCTTCAAAGATAGTTTCAATGAAAGTGGGAGGGCATTGAAAAGTTGCGGATAGTCCCTCCGAGGGGCGGGCGCACCGCTGCTCTAGTTTTCCGCCTTTAAAATATGGCTCCCTGAAAATTGAACCCGTCCGCGGGAAAAGAACAAATAAAACTTCGCCGGCCTTGGGCGCGGCTCTGGAAGTTTGTTCACCGACTGTACAAGTAAAACATCCCCCACCCTTCATGGCTCTGAGAGTTAGCGGTCTTCGAACGCAGAGAGAAATAAAAAGATGGGCAAGCTCTTGTAGCTCATCTTGCATCGACAACACCGCTTTCAGAATCGCAGAATAAACAAATGTGAGGGTAGT